ACAAAGAAAATATTATCAGCACTTTCATGGAGTCTTGGTGACAGTAAATTTGAGTCTTTCTTGCAAAAACCTAGCTTGTAATAAATATTCAGTGAATGAGCCCCTTATGGGGAAACCTGGGAGTTATTGCCCAGCAGGCCCTAAAGGGCTGCTCTTTGCCCATCTGTGAACTTTCAGCTGGATGAAATCAGAGTCTAAGGAGTGCTGAAGGCCAAGAAGGTGAACAAGCTAAAGGCTGGTCCAAGTTGCTGACCAGTTTTTCCGACTGAAAAATGAAGGCCCTTAATGTTTCTGGCTGCTTCCTGGTCACTACGCTCCTGTGAGGCACAGTAAGTACAAGGCCTTCTTCAGAGGGAGGATTGTGGCCAGACAAGAGTTTGTCAAATGTACACCAATAAGTGGGCTTTGTTCCCAATCCCTCCCTGTCCTTTCAGCCCTTACCTGTCACCTCACTGGTCTCTGACCCTTATCCTTACTAGCTGCCTGGTAAGAATCCCCACTCCAGTATCCAAGGCCTGCTGCTGGCTGTCTGGGTACCTGCTGACTCAGTTCTACACCCCCCCCCAGTTCATTTTCCTCTTCTCACTGTGTCATCCCTCCTGGGCATTCTCTGTTCCATACCCCCACTTCTGCCTGTCAAAGTCCATTACACTCTCAAGCAAGGTTGGTTGGGTCCCGAGAACTTCGAAAAGAATGACAGGTGGTTGATGTGATTTCCCCACGAGTAATCCTTTAAGCACACGCGCTGGTGGGACAACTGAGGCCCAGAGAAATGTGATTTAGAAAAGTACCATGTTAGAGCCCGAGTTTCTTGCTTGCTAACCCTAGGCCTTTTCACACAAGCTCCCAGAAGAACTGTGAGCCCTACATGTGCAAAGACATCTTGGAAACCCAGAGATAGAAACTACTATACCACATAGGAGAAGTGAGCCACAGTAACTGGGTCTGGCTAAAGGTTTGGGAGGCAAATAAATGTACCTCAGGGAGCCCTGGTGCCTACCAGGGGATGGGATGTCTGCAGGCTTTGAAAGCTGCAGACCCTTTCCTGGTCTCTGTTTCCTCATTCACTCAGCCTGTATGATGGTTCAGCTGGGTATGTGGGCTGGAAGCTACTGATGGGGTTCCAGATTTCCCAGGGGACACATACCTCAGGTTACAGAGTTCTCTTCATTATATACAGATGAGCACACTCCAAACAACTTTTGCTTTCTTGAGTGCAGAGTATGGCCACTGGGGAGCCAGGTGGTGCCGAGTCCTGAGTGCCTACTGAAGACATGATCAGTACAAGGCTGGACTAGGCCTCTGAGGTCTCAGTGAATCTTTTTTTTTTTTTTTTTTTTTTTTTTTTTGAGACTGGGTTTCTCTGTGGCTTTGGAGGCTGACCTCACAGAGATCTGCCTCTGAGTGCTAGGATTAAAACGTGCACCACCACTGCCAAGCGGTGTCAGTGATTCTTAATTCCAGGCTTAAATGGCCCTCCCTCCCTAACACCCTTCACCACCCCTCTTCCTGAATGTGTTCCAAGCTGACCTTAAACTTTCTGTGTAGCCAAGAATGGCCTTGAGTTTTCTCATCCTTCCTGTCTCTACCTTTGAGTGCTGGGATTACAGCTGTGTGCTATTATGCCTAGTTTATTCTGTGCTGGGTACTGAACCAGGGCCTTGTGTGTGCTGGGTAAGAACTCAGTTAAAGTAACTACATAGAGCCCAAGTCTTTATAATTGAAAGTCATAATTTTTTAAACTTTAACAGTATATATTTTATTTTACTTTTTTTATAGCTCAGGATAGCCCCAAGATTACAGGTGTGAGCCACCATGCTCAGCTGTGTGGGCATGTGCTTGTATTTAAGTATGTATGTATGTGTTCATGTGGGTGTATGGAGATTGATGTCGAGCATCTTCCTTGATTACTCAACACTTAGTTATTCCCTAAAGTTTTGTTTTTGTTTTGGTGTTTTGAGATAGGGTTTCTCTGTATAACAGCCCTGTCTTGTCCTGGAACTCACTCTGTAGACCAAGCTGACCATGAACTCAGAGCTCTGCTTGGGTCTGCTTCCTAAGTGCAGGGATTAAGGCTGTGTGCCACCATGCCCAACTTCTAAAGATATTTTCAATTTGTTTTAAAATTATGTGTATGTGTTTGTGGGTGGGTTTGTTTATGTGAATACAGTGCATTCAGAGGTCAGGAGAGGATACCACATTTCTTAGAGCTGTGGTTGTAGGCAGTTGTAAGTTGCCTGATATTGGTGCCAGGAACTGAACTTGGGTCCTTCAAAAGAGCATTATGTACTCTTAACCAATGGAGCCATCTCTCTAACTCCCTCCACTTTATTTACTTACTCACTTTTTAGACACTTGGGTCCTCTGTAAGAGCGTTTTGCACTTTTAACCACTGAACTATCTTATCTTTAGTTTTTGAGACAGGCTGTCTCAGTGAACCTGGACTCCCAGATGTGGCTAGGCTGGCTGGTCAGTGAGCTCAGGGATCTGCCTTCCTCTGCCCGCCTCTCCCCCCAGCACTGGGGGTTTTAGATGCTCACCACTTTGCCAGGCTTTTCATGAACCAGGTCCTGGAGGAACTTTACCAATTGAACCATCTCCCCGGCCCCATTAATTGTAACTTTTTGACAATTATTCTTTACCACCTCCAAAATTCTCTGTGGCTTCACTTCGTCAGGCTACACCATGGACAGGGAGCCAGAGTGACTTGGATGATCAAGTAGAGAAAGGTCAGGGCTGTCTGGGGAGCAGCCTAGGAGCTTAGTGCTGATTGCCCCACAGCCTCTTTGAACTGCAATACCAAATCCTTCTGAATTGAATCGTCAAGCTGCAAGACTCTCTAAGGAGGGAGACAGGCCTGTGTAGATGAGTAATTAACTGCTTCTGCTGCCTCTCCTACCTCCCACTCTATAGGCCCAGAGAGATAGTGTAATGGTGGGGTTCATGACTGTCACCCACAGCTGGCCATCCCAAACACAAACATTTCTTTAAAATATATACTTGGAAGCCAAGCGAAGTGGTACATGCCTGTAATTCCTTCTTTGGAGGTGGAGGGAGGAAGATTAGAAATTCAAGGTCATTTTCTGCTGCAAAGAGAGCAGCCCACCAGTGCAACATGGCAAGATCCTGCCTCTAGACAAGAGAGCTGGGGATATAGCTCATTGGTAAAGGGTTTTGTTAGAATGCTCAAGTCTCTGGGTTCCATTGACAGTACAGAGAGAGAGAGAGAGAGAGAGAGAGAGAGAGAGAGAGAGAGAAACACATTCTGTTCTGCCTACCTAATTTTGTACTTACTTTTGCATTACATTCAATCAAAGCTATCCTTTTAAGGAATTCCATCTTTGTCCCATGGTGTAGGCCCATTTTAAGAAAAACTTGGGTGTGCTACACCACTTCTGTTGAACCTTATACCACATACAATTAGCTCATTTAGCCCTTGCCTTCTTCCCTGGAGGTGTATGTTGTTCTATTTTCTAATGAAGGGACTGAGACTTGAAGGTTAAGAGACATGCCTAAGAATACCCTGGTGTGGGACCCCAGTCGTAAAGCTAGGGAACCAGCATTGGATCGAAACAAGCCTTCTGATTGTGGGTGCCAGTCAGGAGGCCTTGACAGCCCATGGGACCTCTGACAGTGGAACCAGTATTTATCTCTAGTGCACAAATGGACTTTGGGAGCCTGTTCCCTATGGAGGGTTACTATTTCAGCCCAGATACACGGAGGAGGGCCTAAACCCTTCCCCAAATGATGTGACAGACTTTGATGATCCCCCATGGAATGCTCCACTATCCTTGGGGAGTGGGGGTGGGTGGGTTGAGGGGGTCGGTGGGAGGCATGGGAGGAGTGTTTCTAATTTAAAAAAGGAAGAAAGAATACCCTGGTGTGTCTGATTCTTGTGTTTTTCTGTTTTAGAAATAGAATTTTCTATTTCTAAATGTAAATGTAAATAGATTTTTAGGTGCTCAGATATGCCATGGCCTTGAGAGGCAGGTCTAGAGAGGACCTAGACTTAGCTAAAGGTGAAACAGGAGGAGACAAAATCAGCACTCATTACAAATCAAGAAGCCCTTCTTTCCCAGCCATGATCTTATTAAAAACATTGTGAAGTCTTTGATGGGTAGAGGCCCCAGAAGCGAGAAAATGGGGTCTAAGGTCTGTCTCTGTCCTTTGGGTAGATCACTACTATCTTGGAGCTCTCTCCCCCTTTAAGAGAGGGTCTTCTGTCACTTAGGCTGGCCTCAAGCTAGCTATGTTGGAGGATAACCTTGAATTCCTAATCCTGCCTTTATCTCCCAAGTGCTGGGAATACAATCGTGCACCACCATGCCCCGCTTAAATTTAGGCAGGGTTTCACCTTGGAGCCTTGGATGGCCTGGAACTCACTAAGTAGATTAGCATGGCTTGGAAATCATAGAGGTGCACCTACCTCTGACTCCAAGTGCTGGGATTAAATGCATATAACCCTATGCTGGAACCCGGTCTTAAATTTTTTTGACTACATGAGATGTCTCAGGAACTGGAAGACTTGACAGGGACAAGGTTCGTAAAGGTTCAGATCGCCAAGAGATGATAGAGTCTGTATAGTTCATTCTGGGCTCTGAAGCCCGATTGTCGAGGTTCAGATCCAGGTAATCATTTAAATAGCCTATACCTTGAGAAAACTCTGCCCCAGTTTTCTCTTACGTGAAATGAAGTTCGTAATACAATCTTATTCGTAGAGTTGTAAGGGTTCAAGTCTTGGAAGTATTGGGCACATAGTTGCTCAGTAGTTATGAGTGTGGTCCTCAAAATGTAGGTGTTTTGGAACCTCAGACGATGCCCCTCCTCCGTCTCGGTTTGGCTCCGCCCCCTCGGGAAATCCCACCCTAGGCCGGCCCCAGGTTCCCGGGCCACCCAGGGGGCGCCAGAGATAAGGACAGCTTTTTGGTAGAAACGGGTGACGCTCTGGCTGATGGCGGCGCTCCTCTGTGGTTAGCGGCGGCGGCGCTCTAGGAGGCGGGTTGTGAGGGGCGGGCTTTCTGTGGTGCGGCCGGCTGGCAACTATGGCGGCCGTTCGCGGCCTGCGAGTGTCTGTGAAGGCAGAGGCCCCGGCTGGGCCCCCGACTTTGGGGCTTCCGTCGCCCGAGGTGGACTCCGGCTTGGAGCGTGGCGAGCCGGAGCCCATGGAAGTGGAGGAAGGCGAGCTGGAAATCGTGCCGGTGCGGCGCTCGCTAAAGGAACTGCTCCCGGTACGGGCGAGGGGCGGGGGGTCGAGGAGGAGGTCGCCGAGCGAGTGTCCCTTGCGAGGCGGGGAGGTGGCGGACCGCGGCGCTGGCGCAAGTCCGAGAACCCGGAGAGGGGCGCGAGCGCCGAAGGGCGGGGGCCGCGCTTGACCCGGAGAGAGCCGGAGCGAGAGAAGGGACACCCGGGCGCCCGCCCGGAAATGGGTGCAGAGAGCGCTGGAGGAGGCGCAGGGCGGCGCGAGAGTTGGGGACACCCCTCTCGCTGCCCCTCGGTGTTCGGCCGGTGGCCCGGAGCGATGAGCTGTGTTCGGCTGGAGATAAAAGGGAGCCGCGGGCGGGAACAGAACCTGGAGCAGCTCTGGAAGGAAGTGTTAGGTGGCGCTGGCATCCAGGTCTCCAGCTGGGTCCTGCCCCAGCGGAGTTAGTGGCTGTTAAACATGACTTTCGCTCGTCGCTTGAGAGGGCCAGACCTGTCAAGCAGCAGACACTCGTGTGTTGGTGTTGTGGGTGAGTGTCATCATGTCCCCGCGCACCTTCACTGCACCTACTCGGTGGTGCCGGCTTCTGATGCTCAGGGACAATTGATCTATGTTTTACCACAGTGGGTATGGGGACTGTTTTGCTTGTGGTTTGGTAGTCATGTGCCCTGTTTTTAAAGCTAGTCTGAGGCCTGGATAGCTCGATTTTCTCACACAACATGACCCCCCCCCCCCGCTTAATTACACGATAACAAGTCTTACTTACACATTTGACGTTATGAGTTAAAGGCTTAGATAGTGATGACAAATGGCAATTATTTTTGTAACAACACAACAGCAAGTTTCGTATTTTCCCACATTATGTCTAGATTTTACTTCATTTGTAACTTAGCTGATACCCATTCATTTGGTTTAAGTATCAACCCCCCCCCCCCCACTGTGGGCTAGACATCATCCTAGGTGTTTAAGATTAGACACCCTCTTGGAGTTTGCCCTAGTAGGGGACACAAATAGATAAGTAGTTTCCTTTTGTGTTAAGTACTATGGAGAAAACACATCCTGTTAATAGAATAGAAAGTACAGAGACCAGACGGTGTGTGAAGCAGTCCTTGTGTGTCTAGGTGCATAAGGAAGTCCCCTGAGATAGTCAGATTTAACCTTAACCCTGCATGACAAGAAGGGGCAACCGTGTCAGTTGGAAGGGAGCATTTCCTAGCAGGGAGACAGCAAGCACAGCTCCTCTGAGTTAGAAACAAGATTGTTTTGTTGGAGAAATGTTGGGATACATTAAGCTCAAATGGGAGAGTGGAAGTCAGACAAACAGGCAGACAGCATAGGACTAGGCAAGGCTCAAAGGTGTCTAAGGTATTGAATGCAAGCTGAGACTTCAGTCCTCACTATCCGAGTCCCCTCCTTTTTTCATTGTATTGGGCTGTATTTTTCTCAGATCTAGGACTTCATGCATTTTTGTGGAGTCATTTGCTCCACCTAGTGGCATTTCATGGGGAATTTGTCCAGTCTGGGTTGGGTAGAACTAAGTGACTATCTCGTTGTTTTTTTTTTTTTTTTTTTTTTTTTATTGAGCTGTTTATCCCCCCTCCCCACCTCTCCACTTCCACCCTTCCCCCTGCGCCTCATGTTCCTGATTTACTCAGGAGAGCTTGTCCTTTTCTCCTTCCTAGTCAGACCCATGTATGTCTCTCTTAGAGTTTCTTTGTTACCTAGGTTCTCTGTGGTTGTGGCCTGTAGGCTGGTTGTCCTTTGCTTTGACTCTCTCATTTTTAACATTTTTCACAAATGCTTTAAATTTCCCTTTCTATAGATAATGTTCAGTTGACAGATTTACTCAACATTTTGAACAGGTTCCTGTCTGGGGTCTGGAGAAGACTTTTTGTTAGAATTGTTTATTGCTAATGTGGCGTCTCAGAGACGGACTTCCTGAAAATACAGGTGTTAGGGTGGAGAAGGGCTGCTGGAAAGAATGACTTCAAAAAGGGCTGGATATCAGACTGCCTTTCATTGTGGATTTTTCTCCCAGAATTTCTCATCTTTCTTCTTCTGTTAGGACACAAGCAGAAGATATGAAAACAAAGCTGGCAGTTTCATCACTGGAATTGATGTTACCTCCAAGGTAAGACAGACCTGATTATTCGGTTTGATAGGCAGACAAAATTAATACTTGGTCCTTAGAGTTTACAGGGTAGAGAATATTCTTTGCCTACTTTTTTATTTTGTTGTGTATATATAGCATATTATCAAATATCTACCCAAGGATGCTAGAAAATATTCTTTGCCTACTTTTTTCTTTTGTTGTGTGTATATAGCATATTATCAAATATCTACCCAAGGATGCCCTTGTATATCCTGAAGACATCCAGGCAGCATTTGTTTGTATCCATGAAAAGATAATCACTATACTAGGATGCCTGTGCTTAACCATTTTCAAGAATGAGCTTGCACTGGGAATGCTTATTTTAATATTATATACGATGTATATGTGTGTATGTAAGAGTGTGTCCATGATATAGCACATACATGGAAGTTAGAGAATAGCCTCAGGTGTTGGTTCTCATGTCCCATCTTTTTTTATTACTAGTATTATTAGTAATATTTTTTTAGATATATATGTATATATATGTATGTATGTATGTATATATAGATGAGTGATTTGCCTGCATTTGTGTAAGTGCACCACATAGACCTAGTGCCTGAGGAGGTCTAGAGAGGGCTTCAGATCCCCTAGAACTGGAGTTTCAGATAGTTGTAGCTGCCCTGTGGATATTGGGAACTGAACCTGGATCTCTGCAAGAACAGCCTGTGTTTTAAACTGCTGAGCTGTCTCTCCATCCCCCTCCTATCTTGTTTTTGAGGCAGGTTTCTCTCTCTCTCTCTCTCTCTCTCTCATTGTTAGCCACTATATCACATACTTTAGGCTACTTGGCCTACAGGCCTATCTCATATCTGCCTCCTATCTCCTGCTCTGCTATGAGTGCTGGAATTACAGACATGTGCACAGTGTCTGGCTTTTTCCATGGATTCCAGGAATCCAGATTCAGGTTGTCAGTCTTACGTGATAAGCACTTTTACCCACAGCATCATGCCATGTTCCTGGCCTCAGGAATATTTACTTGGATACTTACTTGCACTCTTTAAAATAATGAGTTTTCTTTCTACTATCTATAAAAATATTAAAAGCACCCAACGTGTAAATAAGCCCTTGGCACATGTCTATTCCTGACTGGTTGCCAACATAGAAAATTGGGTTTTCTAGTTGTGTGTGTGTTTAAGCTTTAAGGGCCTTGCCAACTGAATTATTTCCAGCATCTGACAATATTGCCTTTTGCTGAGTGTTAACATTGTACCATTTTAGTTGTAATACCTCAGAGTGAAGCCTCTTATTATCCATGTGATAAACAGTAAATTGCTTTAATTCAGTTCAGACCTTTTTTCTTCCTGATCTAACTGTGTACAGTTCAATTTGAAACAAATTTTCAATTTCAACTATACATATTTATATTACATATAAAAATTTTTTTTTCAGGTTATTTTTGAAACAGGGTTTTTCTGTATATCCCTGCTATCCAGGAATGCTCTCTATAGACCAGGCTGGCCTTGAACTCACAGAGCTCTGCCTGCCTCTGCTTCCCAGAGTGTGGGGATTAAAGGCATGTGGCACCCAGCTTCAATTCCCCTGTCCCAAGATAGAATTTCTCTGTGTGACAGCCATAGCTGTCCTTTAACTAGCTCTATAGGCCAGGATGGCCTTGAACTCACAGCCTCTGCCAAGTGATGGGATTAAAGGTGTGTGCCACCACTGTCTGGCTCTCAAATTATATTTTTTGTTTTGTATGTATATCAGTGTTTTGCCTACATTTATTATGTGCATGCCTGGTACCTGTGGAGGTCGGGAGAAGGTATTGGATCCCTGGAACTGGAGTTACTGACACTTGTGAGCTATACTGTATGGGTGCTGGGAACTGAATCCAGGTCCTCTATAAGAACCACTAATGTTCTTAACTGCTGAGCCATCTTTCTAGGTCCAATTTAAATTTTAAATAATAATCTATATCTATATATTGGATGTTTAAGAACAAGATTAAAAATAAGTATGTCATACTTGGCTTTTTATAGTTTCTCTGTCTCAGTTTATTTCAGATTACTTAAAGGCCAAAAGAAAGCTGAGCATCTTCTAGTTGAGAAAATAGTACAGAGTGAAAATGTTCTCATTGTAATTAAGAAGTAGACTGCTCTAACCCTACATCATTTTCTAGTACATGAAACAGGTACCTGGGGGAAAGGATTTTGTACTTAAATTGTTCCTAAAGGATTTGGCTAGGGAGATGGCTCAGTTATTAAAGTGCTCTTTGTAAGCATGAAGACCTGAGTTCAGATCTTTAACACACAGGTAAAAAACTGCATGGGAGTGTGTTTGCATCTGTAATCTCAGCACATGTTCCTCCTACACACTATAGCACACACACATACACACACATGCTAACAAAAGTAGATTGTTGTTTGTGCTAGGAAGACTTCAGGGTAAAAACAAGCATAACTATTAGGAAATAACAGAAGCATTGCTGCTTCTTCAGTGCCACAAGCTTTGTTTAGTCAGACCTTCAGTTGATTACAGTTAGTGAAGGGTTCTTGAATTTATTTTCACTCTTGGAAGAAATCTACAAAGCTGATTTTTTTTTTTTTTTTTTTTTTTTTTTTTTTGCAAAGTGTCAATGTGCTTTGTCACTTAAAAATGAAAACAGGCAATTCCATGCCCATAAGACTAGAATAGAGAAGACAGTGTTTTTTGCTCTGGTGTTATTTTTAAATGGGGGGTGTGGCTTTTAGGGAGTGGGCCAATAAAGCAGACATAATGTGGAAGAGCATAGTAGGCGTGATTACCCTGTGCACAGACATCGTAAAATGATATGGTAGTTGTGGGGTTCCTAGAAATAGTACTGGATCAGATGTGCTCTTAGCTAGTGGAAATATTTTCTCCAAACCTTTTTCCACTTTTGTATCTCCATTTCTGCACTAGGAAATTTGAGAAGCTGAGGTTATTTGTTGTAACTTCTTGGCATGATTGCTGATATACATGAAGTATCAGAAAGAAAACTTTATAAACAAGTATTAATTGAGTTCCTACTATGTTCTGGGTGCAGTCATAGGCTGTGATAGAATGGAGATGATTTCAATAGGGCTACTGTAAACTGTGCATGTCCAGGTCACTGCAAAACACATTCAAGACACAGGTTGCTTATTTCTTCTAATTTACTTTAAGGTTGTAACATGCAATTTATGATTTAGCCTTCCTCATCTTCCTTTTACCTCTTTGACTTTTTTGTTCTTCTAGGAAGCAATTGAAAAGAAAGAACAGCGAGCCAAGCGCTTCCACTTTCGAGCAGAAGTAAATCTTGCCCAGAGAAATGTAGCCTTAGATCGAGACATGATGAAGAAAGGTACAATATGTTTGGGGAAACCACCTTTTTCATATTATTCTTAGACTAACTTTTCTCTGCTATCACTTCATGTTTCTGGCTTTGTCCTGTATGTCCAGTCCTCATCCAGATACCCATCACCTGTGTAAAGATGAGATGCTGTCAGAAGTTTCTCGGTTAGAGCTAGAACAATGAAACAAAGGTCAAGGGAGGCTTGTGTCAGAGTTGAGATGTGCTTCTCTGCCTCTGTGAACCTCCTCATCATCTGCTTTCATCATAGTGATGATAGTTGGCCTTTCTTTGCTTTTAAGAACAGTGGAAGTGTCCCACTGTGACACTTTCTTTTAGGGCAATTGGAGCACTTTGGGAAATGGTGGGGACTTTTATAGATAGTATCAATGTATAGTATATGCAGATCTTCCAGTAATTATTGTCAAAAAGACCTAAACCAATTACAATCTATTTTATTAAGGTATTTTGCTCCCTAGAACACACAGCAAGGCAGTTGATAGTGGTGGGTTTTTTTTTTTGTTTGTTTGTGGTGCTTGGTGCTGAGACACCTTGGTGTAAGCCTAAGCAAGTCAGGTCACCACATCCTTAGCCCAATTACTCATTTTTTGTTTGCTTGCTTGAGGCAACATCTCATGCAGCCCAGACTGGTTTCAAACTGAAGATGATTTTGAACTCATGGTCTTCCTGCTTCTACCTCTGGAGTTCTACGATTACGGGGTAAACCATACTCGATAGCAAAGCAATTTATAAAAAGGGAGCATTTCCCTGGAGTGAGCCTGCATTCTTAATATTACCTGCTAATCTAAATGTATGAATACAAAAGGCATCTCTGTTGTACTTACAAATATTGGTATTCCTAAAGGGCTCAGGAATCAGCCTTCTTAATGCATGTTGAAGCTCTGGTGCTATTTGTGTCCCTTTAGTCCTGCTTGGTTGATGAAAGCAGAAGTTCATAAACCTGATGGATGGTAGAAAGAGTGGCTGCTATTTGTTGGGAACCTGTTTTCTTATGGAAGTGGGTTAAGCACATTATGTATTTGTTTTTCATAGTAACCCTCTGAGAAATATATTATTATCTTTATTTTACAAAGGAAGAAACAAGTTGTAGAAGTTTAATGCATTGCTCAGAGCTATTGAAAAAAACCAGGATTTCAACCTAGGTTTATCTGACTCTAAAGACTTACACTTTACTTAAAAAAAACCAAACCAAACATATTCTTGTTGTGTGTGTGTGTGTGTGTGTGTGAGAGAGAGAGAGAGAGAGAGAGAGAGAGAGAGAGAGAGAGAGAGAGAGAGAGAGAGAGAGAGAATGAGTGGATGTAGCACAGCCTGTGTGTGGAGATCTGAGGATAACTTTAGGGAGATGTTTCTTTCCTACTTTGTGACTCCTGGGAATCAAACTCAGGTGGTCAGACTTAGATGCAAGTGCCTTTACTCTCTAAGCCATATTTCACCAGTCCTATGTTTAACACTTAACCTTACTTTTAATACTTTTGGTCTATTGGTATAATTTTATATATGTGACTTTTATATGTAATGAGTATATAATTCCATAGTTCTAGACCATGTCACTCTTTAGTCAGTCCTAGTGGGACAAAGTAGTGTGTGTGCAGAACTGGTTACTCTTCTTTCAGCATTCTGAGTTTGAGTTGAGAATGACGTTAGTTTTCTTGCAGGCTCTGGGGCTCTAGGCCTAAGTGGATCTCAGTATGAGGAAAAGCCCTGTGAAGGCCAGGAATGGCTGTATAGCTTCTCAGTCATGGACTAGTACAGTGTAGTCCTAGGAAGACCTTGGACTCTTCTCACAGCTCAGCTTTGAAAGCTCCATGTTTTACCGCACCTTTTTCCTTCTAGTCCCAGTCATACTTGGCCATGCTTTTCTCTCTGCTTGTTTGTCTTCCATGAAGCATCACTGATTTTGTACTCAAAACCCCCTCCTCTGTTGGTGCCTTTAGGGTCACAAACCCTCATGGAATCTAGTACCGGTTCTTTTGTGACTGGGACAAGTTACTGAACCTTTTTAAGACTCATATTTCTTGTCCACAAAATGAGAAAACAATACCTATGTTATTAATAGGATTGTTTTGGGATTTAATTTTAGTCATATGGAAAATCAATCAGAATCTTAAGTTTCTGCCTAGTTTTTGTTTTGCCTTAGGCAGAATCTCATGTAGCCCAGGCTAGCCTTAAACTTTGGTCTGCCTGCCTCTGAGTTTATTGGTTTGGGCCAGTATGCTCAGCTTTGCAAGCATTGCTTGAACATTAGCTGGGGAATATTGCTTATTTTATAGTGCAACTTGAAAATGAACCTTAGGCAAGATGGCCTAAATGATGTCCTTGAACCCTGGGGAATACTGCCATCCATTTAAGCTAGAGTTGTGCATAGATAGGGTTGGATAAGCCTTAGAAGTAACTATTGTTTTTGTATATCCTAGGTAATTTCAATGTGGAGTCAGGATTGGACAGGATTGGGAACCATTGGTTTTGAGTGAAAGTTTTAAAACCCAGTTATCTTGGTTCACACTCTTTTTGTAGCTCTGTAGCTTGGACAAATTGTCTAGCCACTATGACCTCTTGGAAGACAGACAGAATTGTCAGAGTCCTACAAAACGTCGTAGCTCTTTGGTGCTTGACACATAGTAGGCGTCCAGTCCAGTTGATGTTAATTATCTGGCATTCAGCTGAGCAGTCCAGTCTTAGGGGAATTGAAATAAGTATATTCACACTCACAAGTACACCAGATGTCATGCAGTTTTTTCTTATTAATATCAACAATAATACCACTATTAAATGCTTACTGAATTGCAGTTGCTCTGCTTTGTGGCTAGTTTATTCTTTTAGCAATTCCCCGAGGGTTTTACTGATGAGAAAACTGAAGTGCTGAGAAGTTGAGAAACTTGCCTGAGGTTACACAGTCATGTCCATAACACGGCTGTGCTTGAAGGCTGGACTGACTGGAAATCTGTGTTCCTATTTTGCTAGCATTCAAGGATATAACTTGAGACAGGCTGTGTCTATTATGCTTCAAAAGGGATTTTCTACTTTTGGATGTCTTGTTGCTAAATAGCTTTGGTCCTCATGTCTCTAGGATCAGAGCTTTCATGGTTGGGAAGAACCTTCTAGGTCATTTAAACCAGCTTCCTTCCCAATACTTCAGGCCCTTTGGCATCCAGAGATTGTGTGAGAATCATGGGGCAGGCAGCTTTGTTTTAGGATATTTCCCTATGTGGAACATTGCTCTCCAGGAATTTCTGTCTGGTAGTTGCTGCATGACTCCTAGGGAAAACATGTTAAGTACGTTGCTCCTTTGTACAATGACCATTCATGTGATAGAATATGGCTTCACTTCCCCTTCTTTTTTTCTTTTGAGACAAGGTATTAGAATAGCTCAGCTGGTCTAGAACTCAAAGAAGAATCTAGGTTGGCCTCAGGTGGTCCTCCTGCCTTAGTCTTTTAAGTACTGGGTTACTCGTGTGAGCCACCTCATTTGGCCCTGAACAACTTTCTTTTGTATGACACGTCTTTCTGGTCTCCTGTCTCTCTCCAGTTTCTAAATGTCCTACCTAAGGTGCTATGTAAACTCTGGATACACTATATGTATTGAGTGGCAGTCTTGTTGTTCCTTATCCTCTCCCTTATGCCAGTCATGACAGTAGACTTGTCTTCAGCCCAGGAGTTATTTGAACTTCTGAGCCTCTTCTACCTCCTGAGTGATGTGCTGTGATTATAGGGTTGCACTATCACATCTTTTATCTGTTATATGCCTTTTATCTCTTTTAACTGTCTTCCTTTCTGCATCTTCTCCACCTTAAATCCATGTAGTCTCTTTTTCTTGATCCATTTGTCAGCTGAGTTGAACCATGTAGTTCCATCTCCTGCAGAGAAAAGATGCACTGTTTTCCTGGACTGTACACATTGACTCTTAATGAAACAGCGTCCTTGGTATTCTTTGAATTTTGTTGATTTAGTAATCTTGTCAACAAACAAACACCAAAACCATGAGTCTAGTGTGGCATTTTTCTTACTAAACTCATGTCATTTCTTACAGAAAAGGTTTGGTGTCTCAAGAAATTATAGATGCTGCTTAATAAGCTGATGTTGTTAAATTTCAGACTGACAATAAGCTTTGCAGTCTGTGATTTGGGAATTTCCTCTTCTCTACATCAGTGTGGGGTTAGTCCTTCTCAAGGCTTCAAGATACTTCTCTTTCCCTGCTCCTTTTAGAGATTATTGCCTAATTCTGAAGTCAGCATGCTGGGATGTAACTCTGGACTGGAAGGTCTGACTCTATGGAAATGGCTCTTATGCTGTTTTTCTTTTGTGTTTCTTGTGCTATCAGTGGAACAGCAAAACAGATCAGCAGTTTTGCCTCTTCTCTCTTGGAGCAAACACTTAATGAGAAAGAAAGCTGTCAGCACCTTCTCGTTGTTGTTGTTTGTTTTTTGAGACAGAGTCTCACTAGCTATGGCTGTCCACTCATTATGCAAACCGGCTAGCCTGGAACTCACAGAAATCACCTGCCCCTGCCTCCTGAATGTTGGGATTAAAGGTGCCACTATACCCAAGTAGCTTCAGCCCTTTTGATAGGCCCATTCATGCTGTTGTGGAAGCATGGTCTTCATTAGATGTTTGACCAATCACTTTTACTCACTAAGGAGTATTTGGAAAGTGGAGTTAGATGACAAGTTACCTGCAGTGTGCCCACACTCCATCATTGCCAAGTTGATGTGTGTTTGCTAATAGTCTTTTTGGGAATGGGCTTTGTTTCTATGTTTCCCTTTGTAGAGTTCTGCTTCCTAACAGTCTAGCATCAGCATTTTCTATCACTGTGTGAATGTTTCCCTTTGTCATTTGTAATTGACCCTTTCCTCTCCCGTGCATGTTTGATAGGTTGTACTCACCTCAGTGCTAATGTGGCTTTTGTTTGTTTGTTTGTTTTTGTTTTTCGAGACAGGGTCTCTCTGTGGCTTTGGAAACTATCCTGGAAGTAGCTCTTGTAGACCAGGCCTGCTACACAGAGAGACCCTGCCTCGAAAAACCAAAAGAAAAAAGAAGCCTTTTTTTTTCTTCTTTCCTTCCTTCCTTCCTTTTAACTTTTTATTTGTTCTATGTATTTTACATTATTATCTTGATCCCATTCATTTCCCATCTGCTCTGTACGCCCCCCCCAAATAAAACAAAATTTAAGAGAAAAATGGGAAAAAATAAATTTCATCATGGAAGCTGCAGTGTGACACATTGAGTTTTGCAGTAAATCCCTTTGTCCATATAGTGTTCATTGCAAAGTCATTGATCTGTTTGGGCCTCTGGTTTCTACTACACTATCAATGCTGGGCCCTCACTAGGACTCTTCTAGGATAACCTGTTATTGCCCTGTGTTGTGTAGATCTTGCAACTTTTGGTCTGTAGGTCAGGTCCCTTTATGTGCTTCAGCAGATCATAGATGGGGTGGATGTTGGGGTGGGCCAACTCATAACCCTGGTTCTAGGTCTGGGCAGCTGTAGCGTTGGTCTTCCTGCCAGTTCTCCTATCCTCACCAGCAGGATGAGCTCTCCAGCATTACCCCAGCTAATTCACTCTTGCAGCAGTGAGCAAGAAGTGGGGCCAGTTCTCCTGCTCTCAGGGTCAGCTTCCCCCCCACACACACACACTCAGGAGAGCAGGCAGCTCTCCTACTTTTATGACCATAGAGCCAGCTCTCCCATGTGCCTCAGCATTGATGGGGGTAGAGAGAAGGGCGTCTCTCAAATAGCCCATGTCACCATATGACAGATGGTGGGCTAGGTCTTTCACACTCACTGCTTTGGGCTGGCTTACCAGCACCTCCACCAATAGTGTTGCCTCTATTTTGTTGCCCAGGCTAGGTGCAGGGACTGTTCTCCCAAGTGTTGTAGCTGGAGGGGGTGGGGTGTTGGGGGGTTGGGAGGTTGGGTTGGGTTGTCAAGGATAGCTCTCCCTCTCTTGTGACCACAGGGCCAACTTTACCACCTGCCTCAGGTGTTGATGGGCAGCAGGACGCGGGGTGGGGTGGTGGTAGGGTGTCTCTTCTCTGCCCATGCTCACAATGTTGGGGCTGGTTCATCTATACATGCACCAGCAGGGTTGGTTCTTAGAGCCATTTCATACGCTTACTGTATTAGAGCCACTGACTTTGTTTTAATCATTCTAATCTGAGACCTGAGGGTTGACTTTTTTCCTTTGGGTTTTCTGAAATCTGCTTTCCCAAAGACTTGAATTTTTGTCTACTTGATGTTATTGGTTCTCTTTCCTGTTGGAACATCCAAGATGACAGACCCAGTGCCTGGCTTGTGAGCAACACTGAGTGAATGTGCGGTTCCCATCTTCTAGTACAGTTGTCCCTCAGCACTCATCTCTATCATCCCTTGCTGTAAGTCTCGACACCTTTGGCTTTGTTTACTTTACAATGACATTGCCAGCAAGGTGAGGGCCTTTTCCATTGCTATTCCTCTGTGAAATCCTTATCTCTGGTGGGCTGTGCTTCTGGCAATTTGGTTTTCTTTTGAGGACAAACCACATGCACATGCTAGATAAGTGTTCTTCCACTGAGCTATGTCCACAGTTCTTGTTTTCTTATTTTGAGTCAAGACGTCATGCAGGCTGGCTTTGAAGTACAGCCTCTTTAGTGGCTGGGATTAAGGCTTATGCCACTAAGTTTGGCTTTTTACCTGCTTCTTTTGAAGAAAATTGTTCGTTGTTAATATGTATCTTATTGTGCTAAGTTAAAATAAACATCTCTAGCCAGAATTTTTTTATTCTTTGACTCTTCTTTTGTGTTTAAACTCCTTTTTTTAATTTGTAGGTTTTCTTTTTTAGTATTGTGGGTTTTTTGTTTTGTTTTGTTTATTTGTTTGTTTGTTTTGGTTAGTGCATACTATGATGTTGTTGATACTGAGTTTTGTTACTTTTTTCCTCTGCTTGACTCAGTCCATTTTAACATATGAACAAATATGTATTTTCTCTAACACCCAGACTTTTTCTTCTTCCATTACTGGGAGTTGTTTTTTGTTTCCTTTTTTCCTTTTTCTTTCTTTTTTTTTTCTTTTCTTTTGAGGTACGGGTCTCATTGTATAGTCCTGGCTGGCCTAGATATCATTATATAGACCAGGCTGGCCTTGAACTCAGAGATCTACCTATTTGTCTCTGCTTCTCCAGTGCTGGGATTAAAGGCATGTGCCACCAAGCCTGGGTCTCTTGTTTTTTTGTTCTGTGGAACCATCTCTTGACTTGTCATAGTCTTCTAAAATCATAGCTTTTAGTTCAAGGAACTGAGACTCCCTTGACCCTATGGGCTAAATCTGTCGCTGTTTCCCTTCCTGCACAAGTCTCTGCTCACTGTTGCCCGGCTTTCACCAGTAAGTATTTGCTGGGATTAAAAAAATCCTGAGGGTGGGGCTGGAGAGATGGCACAGAGGTTAAGAGCCCATCTAGCTTTGAACTTTGACAGTCCTTCTGCCTCAGTATTCTAAGTGCTGGGATTGTAGGCGCCATCATGCCCAGTGATTTGTAAGAGTTCTTGACTCTAGTATCATGTTACAGTTTCTTTAGTGTTCATGCTTTGATGCATCTGAGGATGGAGGTGCTTCTTTCTTGAAGTATTATGTCCACTGTTGGGTATTACTCTCCAATATATATCATTTCAGAATCAACTTGTCCAGTTCCATGGTCAGTCCTATGGGATCTTGTAGAAAGAACTGCCATGTATTTTACCATTGCTCTATTTCCTCAATCTGAGCCCTGAATGGCTATTCTGAGTCACATCACTTGCTTAATGTAGTTCAATGGTAAATATTAATGCAGTTGACCTTACCTTCTTGTTTTGTGTTCTTTGAAATAAATATTGTTTCAGATTCTTCCTCTTCTAGATCCATTATCTAAACCATTGTAAAGAAGTGCTAGCCATTTGGAAAGAGAATTCTTTTGCTTTCATGGCAGGGCTTCTCTGTGTAGCTCTGGTTGTCCTAGAACTCTCTCTGTAGACCAGGCAGGCCCAAACTGATCCACCTGCCTCTGCCTCCAAATGCTGGGATTGATGGTCTGTGCCACCAAACCCTGCTGGAAAAATTACTCTTATTAAGGGTATTGCTTCCATCAGATTGACCAATGGGTATACCTCCCCAGTATTTTTTTTTTTCCCTTTATTTGATTGCTAGTTGATATGGGAGGTCCTAGCCCACAGTGGGAGGTGCCATCCCTGGGCAGGTGGGCCTGACCTGTAATAAGAAAGTTAGCTGAGCAAGCCAGTAAGTGGCATTCTCCCATGGTCTCTGCTTTAGTTTCTGCCTCAAGATTCCAGCTCTGAACTCCTGCCCTGGCTTCCCTTTAAGATGGACTATATAACCTGTCCAAATAAACCCTTTCCTCCTCAGCCTTCTTTTGGTCAAGGTAAAATAAAATATAAAAGCAAAACAGGACATACACACATACAAAGTAAAAATATCTTTTGACATCTCACTAGACAGTGGTTTTGTCGCTAAAAAGATGTGATGATACTTAATATTTTGTTGAACAGGGCAGCAAACTTTTGCAGTTCCAACACTTTGAAGGCTGAGGGAGGATGCTTAGTTCAAGGTAGCTTGTTCTACATAGAGAAACCCTGTTTCAAAACCAAAGCAGAACAAAAACGAAAAAGGTTTTTTGTTTTGTTTTGTTTTGTTTTTTGTTTTTGTTTTTGTGAATACCTGTGTATGAGGAGATTTGTATTTTTGTGAAACTAAAGATCCATACCAGAAGAGAAGTACAAAAAAGAAGTGCTAGCAAACTGTACCTAGCAGGTAGGAAAACTGTCTTTATTTTGTTTTGTAGCCATCCCCAAAGTGAGACTGGAGACCATCTACATTTGTGGAGTAGATGAGATGAGTACCCAGGATATCTTTTCCTATTTCAAAGAGTATCCTCCAGCTCACATTGAGTGGTTGGATGATACCTCCTGTAAGTATACTCACATACTCTGTTTAGTATACTTTTGTTATGATTTTTAAAGAGTTCTTAAATAATTATGGCCCAAACTGTTTGTTCTTAACCTCTGTTCTTAGCCTAGGAGAAAAAAAGCTACCCTGATAATACTTACATAGCTGTCATTGTGTTCCAGGAGGGTTTTCTTGGGGTAGGTCTTACTTACACTAGCCCAGCCTGGTCTAGCACTGGAAATCCTTCAGCTTCTGCCTGCCAAGTGCTGGGATTGTTAAGTGTGTGCTTGCCACATTTGGCTTCAAGCAGTTCATATGCACAGAACAATTATTTTTGTGGAATTGGGTTTGGGAATGTAGCTTTAGATGATGTTCATCACACATTTTATCGACCACTTTTATACTTTTTTCATGAGCTGGTTTTTACATTGACTGACAGACATCTGTAGCCAGTGAGGCTGTGGCAACGAACCTGATGTGAAATCCACTTTAAAAAACTTACACTTGAATGTGTGATGTTTTATTTTAGGTAATGTGGTTTGGCTAGATGAGATGACAGCCACACGAGCTCTCATTAATATGAGCTCTCTGCCAGCTCAGGATAAGATAAGAAGCAGAGATACCAGTGAAGACAAGTCGTCTGAGAAAAACAAGAAAGGTAACTACACTCAAAGGGGCCCATTGCCCTTCCCCATTCTGTACACTGACCTGTTTGGGACCTTTGAATAGAGCATTATGAACACTGTATTACCAGATATTTCTGAGGTCAATTATGATGCTTGGGTTTATCCGTCAATAGGAATAGAAAACATTGGGCTACTTAAATTTTATGAGATGAGGTTACATTAAGGTTCCTCTTGTCCCTCACACTCCATTTTAGACAAGCAGGAAGACAGTTCAGATGACGACGAGACTGAAGAAGGAGAAGTTGAAGATGAGAATTCAAGTGATGTAGAGGTTAGTAATAGGGCAAAGATATCTGAAGGTGTTGTTGTTTAAAAAAAAAAAAATGCTTACTGTCTTTTTAAATGTAAGACTTAAAGACTTAGTAAGCTGTGGTCTTTGTTTAGCTTTTACCATGGAACCTTCTAAAGGCACACCAGACTCTTAGCCTTTTAGTTTGTGTGGATGTAACTGTTCATCTTGGAATCTTAGAATAGTGTTTATACTTGTGCAGAAGAGAAAATGGGTTTATTAAGAAATACTATGAGCTGGGTGTTGGTGGCACACACCTTTCTTTAATCCCAGCACTCAGGAGACAGAGGCAGGTGGATCTCTGTGAGTTCAAGTCCAGTCTGGTCTACAGAGCTAGTTCCAGGACAGGCTCCAAAGTAATACAGAGAAACCCTGTCTCGAAAAACCAAAAAAAAAAAAAAAAAAAAAAAAAGAAATGTGATGACTTGTTGCCTAACCAGTAAAATAAGGAAAAGCAACAAGGGTTTGTTAGAAATTTTGTAGTGTTCGTTTGAAACATTTTGTGTGTGTGGTGCTGGGCCAAACCTAGGACCTTAGACATGCTAAGCAAGTGCTGACTCCAGCCAAGCATATTCATTTCAAGTTTAAATATTGAAATGGTGTTATGGTGTTTACTATATATCAAATTCTGGGTACATAATATCAAGTAAAAGAAAAATAAAGTCCTTACCCCACTAGATGCTACATTCTAAAAGGAAAGACAGATACACAGTCACATGCTGTTAGGAGACACTGTGAGCACGATGGAGACAGTAAAGGGGGAGAGAATTAGGGCTGCAGAGATGGTGTATACTGTGTCTGCAGAAGACTTGAATTCGATTTCCAGTACCCATGTGGGATGGCTCACAACTGCCCACTACAGGACATCCAATGCTGTTCCGTCCTCTGCAGACAACTGCTCTCATGTGCACACAACTCCACACAGACATGTGTACACATAATTTTTTAAATGTTTATAATGAAAGATAGAAAGTGATGAAGATTATTCTTTTAGGCAGGGTAGTTCAAGAGGTCTCCAGAGGAGTGAGTACTATAACACTGTTGGGTATAACAAACAGATAGAATGCTTTCTTAATAGTAACTCTGCAGAAAAAGCATGAAAAGTGCTTGGACTTTCACGTTGAAATGTTTTCTTTTTAAGTTGGACACGTTGTCTCAGGTGGAAGAAGAGTCTCTGTTAAGAAATGATCTTCGTCCAGCTAACAAACTTGCTAAAGGAAATAGACTATTCATGAGATTTGCTACAAAAGGTAAATTTGATATTTGGTATTTATTTTTGATCAGAATGATGATTTACTGACTGTAACTTTTCCTGTTGACCAGAAGTTAGCTCAGATAATTCCCAAATTCCCTTTAAACAAACTCTTTATAAAAAAGTGGCTTAGTAACTGAGAAGGAATTTCTTTTCATGTTTTTGTTAGTGTATATTTACTATGCAGTGGTTGGTTTCATTGTTACATTCCTGCACATGCTTGTGATATAGTACTTGGATCCCATTCATCCTCTTTACTTCCTGTTCATACATTCCCTCCCTTTTTTTACCTCCCCAGTAGTTTCCCTTTTACTTAACTCTGAAATCCACATAGAAAAACAAATAGGGTACTTTGTGAGCTTTTGGTTTTGTTTTTTGAAACAGGGTTTCTCAGTGTAGCTCTGGCTGACCTGGAACTTAACTCTGTAGACTATGCTGGCCTGGAACTCAGGTATCTACCTGTCTCTGCCTCCTTAGTGCTATGATTAAAGGTGTGAACTACTATCTTGAGACTTTGTTTTTAAGAGAAGGGAGTTTTATTAAATAAAGTAGGAGATTTTAGGAGCCACAGGCACTGGCCATGAGAACAAAATGACATTGACAATGCTCAGGGTACCCTCTGACATACAGAACACACCATTAAAATGCTGTTGTGAAGGAAGATTTGATCTGATCCAGGGCTTAATCCCAAGGGTACCACCATGTCTGTGGCAAGTGAGCTGGCTCTGAAATGAATGCGATTCCCTGAGCACCCACTGAGTCTACCACTATGTCCATCCTGGTCGGCATAGATAACAAAGTCATGACCAGGAGTAGAGGTGTTCTTTCAGTCCCACTGTCCCTCACTTGGATCCACCTTAAATCACTGGACCAGGGTCTTGTCTCTCCCATCAAGGCTTAGGCCAGCATCCAGCTGTGCTGGTACAAGTCTGATCTTGCTGAACCAAAGCTCTGTGTGTGTCACTTCTGCGTTGGTGTCCTTGGGCTAGTTTCAGGTGATGTGAAGCTGAGCAACCTAGGTACTCAGTATAGTAACCATTGAATACTGAGGTTCCCCTTCCTTCTCCTGGGAGAGCCCATTGTCTACCATGTCACCCTGTTTCACAAGGTTCTCATACATCTTGTCATAGAAGATGCTCACCTTCACTATTGCCAACAAATAAGCTAGTAGTTTGTGCCCATATAACAGATAGATGAATCCTACAGAGCTGAGCTTGGCCTGCTACAACTTCCTAGGGAATAGGAGCACATGTTGGGAACACATTGGTGATGGTCATATAGTGCCATATGAAGGTGCTTTGGATAGCCTATCTCCACTTAATTTCTGTGCAGAAAAAAAAATGTGCTTGCTGTTATCTTGTCTTAGTAGAAGATGCTGCTGTATGTTCCAATTTGGGATAGTGCCATGAGGTTATTGTAGGGGTTGTTTTATTTTGTTTTGTTTTGTTGGTTTGATGGGATGAGCTATTGCATATAACGTTTTGATAACCGTGGATGGGCAGATATCCCTATAGTATGCTAATTTTGGCTTCTTTTGGATATTTATCCAAAAGTAGTATAGATGGATTATATGGTCTTTTATTGCTATTCTTGTAAATTTAAGGCCAAACTAGGTTATGTGAGACCCTGCCTCAAAAACCAAACAAATCCAAAATTATCTTCACACTCACAGGAAACCCTAAGTAACTATTCTATTAACTTTCAGATGACAAAAAGGAACTTGGAGCAGCCAGAAGAAGTCAATATTATATGAAATATGGAAATCCAAATTATGGAGGCATGAAAGGAATTCTTAGCAATTCATGGTGAGTCTAAAACCTTAAAATATGATGGCTCTTGGTCTATCTTAATGGTTTTATTAGCACATAATAGGCTTCATTATGACATCCACCTACATGCATATAATGCATTTTGATAGTTTGATCTTGGCCTCCCCTGTCCCTACCCACTCCTCCTCCAACTAGCTCTCTTCTACTTTGATGTCTCTCTTTGGTGTGTGAGTGACCCAGTGAGTTTCATTAGAGCTTTTTACAGGAGCATGGGTACCTTACCAGTAGTCACTGAAGAAAAACTCCCTCTCCACTCAGCTACAAACTGCGTATAAATCTTGGGGTCCTGTGAGTTCTTCCCTATTCCATAATGGGTTGATGAACTCAGTCTTGTGTAGGTTTTGTGTAGACAATCACACTGTGAGTGCAACAATCATGCCATAACTAGGAAGTTAGTGTATTACCCTACTTTATCCTTCTCCAGTTCTTACATTCTTTCTAGCCCTTCTTCCACAGTGTTTCTTGAGACTCAGAAGGGATGATATAAGTGTCCCGTTTGTGGTTAGGCATTCAAGAGTCTTTATTCTCAGTACTTTGTCATTTTTAAGTCTGTCTTCACTGGTGACCATGGCAAAGTGTTTTGTTTTTAGTTTTTTGAAAAAGTGTCTCATGTAGTCCAGGCAAGTCTCAAACTCTTATGTAGCCAGGCAGGACCTTGGACTCCTGATCCTCTTGCCTCTACCTCCCAAGTGCTGGGATTAAAAGTATAATAATTTGAACATTACTTCAGCTGCTTTTCATCTTTCAGTTGGTATTCTGTGGCAGAATGTGAGAGCCTCCTGTGGACTGAAGGAAAGTGAGGGAAGAACTCGTGATTCTTAGCTGTGGCAAATGCTGTGCCACTGTGGAGCTGGAATGAAGTGGATTTCAGCATCCTTCTTACTGGTTTCTGATGCTGTGCTTATTTTGGCAATATTACAGGAAGCGAAGATATCATTCCCGTCGCATTCAGCGGGATGTGATCAAGAAGAGAGCCCTGATTGGGGATGACGTTGGCTTGACGTCGTATAAACACCGACATTCCGGTAGTTGCCTGCTCAGCTCTTGGGTAGACACACATATGTTTGGCTCTCAAATTGTATTTTTATTCTTAACACAGTCTTTTAAGGTTCCAAACTTTATTATCCTCTCTTCTTTGCCCTCACCCTCTGCCAACATAGAGGAAAGTAAGTCAATTCATGATTAATTTTAAATTGCCCATGCAAGAGGTCACATGATTTTATAAAACTGTTCTAACAAAAAGACCATATGCTACAGAGAGAAAATTAAAATAAAAATTTCTTTGGAACTTAAATTTTCTACTATTAATAACAACTACTGAAAAATACTTTATCAAATAGACTGATTCTGTTTTCTTTTCTGATAATGCAAGTAGGCTGCTGTGTTGAGTGTTTTTGCACACTGGTTTTTGTATAGGAATGCTACTAAAACATGGGACATTATGACTTGAGCCTTTTTTCTTTCTCTCTTATATGTTTATTATAAAGGAACCATTTTCATTATGCTTTCTAAAAAGTTCACTTTTAGTTTGAACTTATGTGTACAGTCTTCTACATGCTTTCTAGAGCTAAGTAAGTCAGCAGACAAACAATGTGCACAGGTGTCATCAGGATGAGACAGAAAGAGATGGAGTATATACTCTTTTTTAGCTAATGGATGTGTACAGAAGTGTATCTTTGAAATCTGAATATTAGTAATGCACATATTTTCTGTTAATACTTTTCCAATTTTCCTTACTTTAAGATATTGTCAGCTGAGTGTGTGTCACATGCCTTTAATCCTAGCACTTAGGAGCCAGTGGATTTCTGGAAGTTCCAGGTCAGCCTGGTCTATAGACCCAAGTTTCAGGACAACCAGGGATACACAGAGAAACCCTGTCTTGAAAAACAAACTTTGTTGTAATCTACTCTTTATGCTCATATTAAAGAAATCGGAAAATAAATTGCCCCTAATTCAAGTATCCTAATACAGTAGCTGATTTCATTTTATATTTATTCCATCTATTTTTATGAAATTATAATTATTGTAAGCATATTTTATATTTGCTTTTCCCACTTATTCATATTCTTTTTGAAAAATATTTTATTTATATTTCTTTTTGAAAAGGATTTTTATTTTTAATTATATGTGGAAGGGGGGTTGTTGGAGGCCAGGAGAGGGTGTCAGATTCTCTTAAAGCTGGAGCTACAAGCCATTGGCTCTGGGAACTAAACTCTGGTTCTCTGCAAGAGGAGTATGTATCTTAACCACTGAGCCATCTTTCTAGACCCATAGCCCATAAGCTTTAGAATTAATGTTGATTTGCATTATTGAGGACTATCACATGGCATGAAGTTACAGAACATTGAATTAGTGAATATTGAACCATATAAAACATCTGGTCACACTATTTTCATCAGCTAGCTGATCAGTATGTAACCTCGCTGAGCCCATTTTTCTATTTAAAGACAGCTGATTTAATATCATTTAATATTATCATTGAATTAACAGCTGATGGTATTGTAACTCATGCCTGAACAAGGCTTATTTAGTATAGGTATTTTCTTCATGGGGTACACCACCAAATTTTTACACCAAACAACACTTTATCACCCACTGTGCTTAATGGGACCTTTTTCTTTTTTGTGAGACAGTCTCTCTCTGTAACCCTTGTGTCTGGCTTTGAACTCTCAGAGATCCACCTATGCCTCTGCCTCTCGATGCTGAGGTCAAAGGCATAAACCACCCCACCCAGCTTAGGGGCCATTTTTAACAGTGAAATTATCAAGATAAAGCACAAGTGAAAACAAAGCAGTTAATAGGTTGAAAGGGACCTTGCTTACAATATGAGTCATGAGTAAGAAGGTGATGTTGCTGTTGCCTTGACCAGGAAGAAGCTCATCTGGCCACTTAGTTTTCTATCAGTCTGCATATGTTTACAGATGTTCTTGATGTACCTAGAGTATTGATTTAGGAGCCACAACTAAATCAGACAGATTTATAAATATAAAACTTGTAAATAATGAAGATTGCTCATATTGTACATGAGTTCATACTACTATATTCCTGTTTTACCAATCTCTTGGATAAATAAGAATGGCATCCAGTTTGACACTTTCACAGGTAGTAATACTCCAGTATAGTCTTGAGGTGATATTCTTTCCTTCTATCAATGTAGAGTAGAAATCATGCTCATTAGTTTAGCCTTAATTGTAGTACTAACCTTGGGTTAAATCTCTTCAGGATTAGTGAATGTTCCTGAAGAACCCATTGAAGAAGAAGAGGAGGAGGAGGACCAAGACATGGATGCAGATGACAGGGTGGTGGTGGAGTATCGTGAGGAGCTCCCAGCTCTCACACAGCCCCGTGAGCGGAGTGTGTCCAGGCGATCGAGTGCGAGCAGCTCAGACTCAGACGAGATGGACTATGACCTAGAACTGAAGATGATTTCTACTCCCTCCCCAAAGAAAAGCATGAAAATGACCATGTATGCAGATGAAGTAGAGTCTCAGCTGAAAAGTATTAGGTAAAATACTTTTCCCTTTTTTATCGAGTTTCTGTTTTGTTTTATTTTGTTTTGTTTTTTCAAGACATAGCCCTGGCTGTCCTGGAACTCACTATGTAGATCAGGCTAGTCCTGAACTCACAGATCCACCTGCCTCTGCCTCTCAAGTGCTGGGATTAAAGGTGTGTGCCACCACTGCCCAGCTAATACTTTTCCTCTTTCTAATCAATGTTAACTTTAAATTAAATTTATTCATTTATTTATTTTGGAAATACTGATGATTGAGGACTCTTGTGTACATACTAGGCAAAGCACTCTCCCACTGAGAGTAATGTGATTTTTTTTAAAATATTTTTATTTTATATGTGTGAATGTTTTGACTGCACAAATGTCTGTTCACCGTATACATGCAGTGCCCTCGAAGGCCTGAAAAGGCCATCAGATCCCCTAGAACTGGAGTTATAGATGGTTGTTACTGCCATGTGGGTGCTGAGATTCAAGTCTGGTCTTCTGGAAGAGCAGCCAGTGCTCTTAACTGCTGAGCCATCTCTCCAGCCCCTATAATTTGATTTTTAAGTAGTAATTATAAATGCAATCCTTCTTCATGTTGCAGTCATTTTTACCCTAATTTTCATTCCTTTGTAGGTGTTTGATGGAAGCACCCATTTTTCCCCCTATATAAGCAGTAGTTGTTACATAGTATAGAAAGTGAAAACCAGACAACTATTACTTTTCTATCATATGTAGTACCTTGTTTAACACTAATTCCTTAATTAAAATTTTTTCATTTCATGTGTGTCTGTGCCACAGTGCATGTGTGGCAGTCAGAAGACAACTTGTGGAGTTTGTTCTCTTACTCTATCATATGGGTTCTGAATGTTGTTAGTGGTTGTAAGCACTTGGAAGCAGTACCCTTACCTGCAGAACTGTCTTGACAGCCTATATATCTTTTAATTTTGTTTTTTTGAGATTGAGATTGAGTTTCAGTGCATAGCCCAGGCTGGTCTTGTGTTGCATTCTTTTTCCTGGCCTCTGGGAATTATAGTTCTGGGATTATAGGTGTAAGTAGATTACACCTAGTCCTTTTCGATAGTTACTGATGTTTCTGTTAATATTGCCCTAGCTAAATAGATTCCTCAATGTCTACCTTGCTATAGAAAATAATACACATGTTTAAAAATCTATATGTGTTGCTAGATACATGTGTTTAAAGTACATGTATGGCCGGGTGGTGATAGCGCATGACTTTAATCCCACCACTTGGGAGGCTGAGGCAGACAGGTCTCTGTGATTTCTAGGCCAGCTTGGTGTACAGATACAGAGCTAGTTCCAGGATAGCCAGGGCTATGCAGGAAAACCCTGTTAAAAAAAAAAAGAAAGAGGGAGAGAAAGAAAGACAGACAGACAGCCTGTCTTTTTAAAACATGTGTTTAAAAAAATCTGTATATGTTACTAGATTTCCTTTCTTGGGCTTTATCCACAATTCTACCTATGACTCAAACTGTCACCAAGTTTAGAAACTATTCTTCCTAATTTTTGTGGACCTCTGGAACAGAGATGATAGTTTTTTTAGTGAGCAAATTCAATAAAGTATAGATTTTATTTTGAATTTGTGATATTTTGAGACAGGGTCTCACTAAACCAAGTAGGCTGGATTTAAATGTGCTATGTGACATAGGCATGGTATGAATGGTCATTCTGTATCCTGCCTTAGTCTCCCAAGTATCTGAGCTTGCAGCTGTACCACCATGACCTGGGCTTTCTGAGATGCTCTTGGATAGGAAGGAAAGGGGCTATTGGTGTTGATTTGTGTGGCCTTATTCACATTTTTGTGTTGAGTAACTGACCAATAGAAAATTCTAGTAAAGTAATGCTCTCTTTCATAGTAGGATGGTCTGTAGACAGAAGTATCATCTTTAAAGAAGATGATTATAGACTTACTTTGTCTGGACTACATCCAGAATACACCTACCTGGGTGAGCAGAGTTCCAGCTTCTTTGCAAGCATCTCTTTAATGTTTGCCCTTGGTGAAGGTGATCATCAGTTATGTGTTCTGTGATAAAGTATGCAGGCACCATGTGGAAATCATCCTGTGAAGGTTGACAGCTTGCTGCCTTCACCATCTCTTCACAGCATGTTGATCCAGGTTCTAAGTGAGCTGTTATCAGTGCTATTTGTAAGTGAATAGTGGTCAGCTGAGATTGAGTTTCTTGAAATAGGAGACTTTGCTTGTATCTTGTCTCACAGTTGAAGTTGGTTACTTGTGCTCTCCTGCTTTCTTCCCCCTTACAGGAACTCTATGAGGGCAGATAGTATATCCACAAGCAATATAAAAAACCGAATTGGTAACAAATTGCCACCTGAGAAATTTGCAGATGTCCGACACCTCTTAGATGAAAAGCGTCTGCACTCATGTCCACGTCCAGCAGTTGGAAGTACTAAACCAGGTACTGTTCTTCCTTTGTGCTCATGCCCCTTCATTGGCAGGCCTGGCCACCAGACTGCTCTAATGGCTCTAATAGCTGTTTCTAGCCTCTGGAGGTGTGGATGGCCAAGTTCTGTCCTCTAGAGATAAAAAAGCTAAAAAAGCCCAGGATAAGGCCACCCTGGGAAGCTGCATCCCCACAAGAAACCCTGTGTAAATACAGCCTGCCTCCTGCTCAGGTCCCTGCTGCTTCTGGTCCAAGCAGAGCAGGTCTCTCCTGTGTCTCTCCCAGTCAATCTCCTGTGTGAGGTTTGTCGTGCTGTGTGACTTTGTGGTGTTCCTAGGCTTCTGACTACCAGGATACCTTTCTCCTCAGAGGCATGACACACATGGAGCACCTACAGGGCGGGTGAGCTCAGTGTAAGCTCTTCTGATTTAATTGTTCTTTTTATGTCTAAGTCTTTAGCTAGGCATTGGAGTTCATGAGAAAATACATAAACTCAGATTTTTGGCAAAACTAGCTTTTAGTATTTTTGTCTGAAATAATAGATACTATTAAATAACAAATAATATTTTCCCCCTGGTATATTTTATACCCCAGACCAATAAAGTTGTGTGGTTAGTACATGGTTGAGTGTGAACTAGATTGTATATGTAAGTAAACCCTGATAGAACAGTATACTTGTGGCTAGTAGCCTAGCATGTGCAAGTCTCTGGGGAGGCTACAACACCTGCCATAGATCTGAGAGAATTTGAGAAGGCTTTTGGAGAAAGTAGTTTTAGATTTGGTTCTTGGGAGGGAATAGAATGCAGATGGTAATCTATCTTTTGAGGTGGGGAATAAGCTGATTCTTATTTTTAAAAAGATGGTTTTGGAGGAATAGAATGTAGTATGCATACAAAAAAAAAAAAAGATAATGGGAAGCCAAGAAGGAGCTCAGCCTTACCTCTGGGGGTTGAGGGGGGCTTACATAAGATGTCAAGAGCTGGCTCAAGGCTGATGAACATGTGACTGCTATTGCTGCTGTTTGTTAGTGGACCCTTGGGCCCAGCAGCTAGTGACAGGCATAGGGGAGAAACACTTAGTTTAGAACATGGTTCCTTTATCCTTGGCCTATTTCCAGACTCGTTATACTTACTGGTAAAATGTAGTAAGTTTATTGAGAACAACTTGATGTCTAGGGATTGTGGGGAGCTTGCAGTATTGTTAACTGAAAATTTTGGCATGTTACTTAGTTTTGCTTGGTTCTGCCAAAAAAGAAAAAAGGAATAAAGGGAACTTCTGCTTCAGGCAATCAACTGATAGCCTCTGCATCCAAGTTTTAAGTTTTCCTAAGAGAAATAAGACCAATTATGAGCAGAACAACAGGCTTCTAGAACCCTTCTTGTGCCAGATCCTGTGCTTTCACTGTGGGAGATCTGGGATCGGGTATTTAGAGAGCTGTGCCGACTAGTTTTTGTTGCCTGAAATAAGTTAGAGTCATTTTGGAGGAGGGAACCTCAACTGAGAAAATGCCCCTGCCAAATTAGCTTGTGAGCAAGCCTGTGGTACATTTTCTTGATTAATAATTGATATAGGAGGGCCCAGGTCACTGTGGACAGTATGCTGGTGTTCCTGGGTGGGATAAGAAAGCAGGATGAGCAAGCCAGTAAATAGTATTCCTACCTCCAGGTTCCTGCTCTGCTTGAGTTCCTGCTCTCACTGCTTTTGATGATGCGTTGTTATATGAAGTGTGAGTGACATAAACCTTTTCCTCCCCAAGTTGCTTTTGGTCATGATGTTTTATAACAATAGAAACTATAGCTATGACAAAATTTTAGGTCATTGGTACTTAACAGTAAAACACATGCTTGGTAACAGGCATACTTTTTCTCTTTTTTTCAGATATTCGCCAGCGGTTAGGAAAAAGACCACATTCTCCTGAAAAGGCTTTTAGTAGTAATCAAGTGGTTCGGAGAGAGCCCTCTTCAGATGTACATAGTAGGCTAGGTGTTCCCAGGCAAGATGTTAAAGGCCTCTACTCTGATACTCGGGAGAGGAAATCGGGTGAGCAATACTGATGGTTGGGAAGGAGTAGAGAAAGTGGTTATAGCATAAGAAGTAGAGTCAATGCTTATTTCTTTTCAGTTAGCATAACTGCTTTTGTTGGGATCAGCATCATGCCTGTAGGAGAGAGTACACACCTTTATGTAGCAGGCTTTCTGCTCACCAACTAGCTTGCAGATCATGACATGGAGACAATATTTATGAATGCTTGGCCTTAACTTAGGCATGTTTCTTGCTTAAACTATTTGTCTTCATCTACATTTTGCCTCAGGGCTTTTTACCATTCTTTAATTCTGTATGTCTTACTCCATGTCTGACTGACCCCTGCTGTCTCCCGTTTTTTCTTCCTAGTTCTTTCTTCTTTCTCTCCTGAGCCTAGATTCCTATTTATTCTTTCTGCCCTCCAACCCCACCTACTCTTCTGTTGCCTAGCTATTGGCTGTTCAGCTTTTTATTAGACCAATCAGGTGCCTTGGGCAGGCAAACAACACATTTTTACATCATTAAACAAATGTAGCATAAATGAATTAATACACCTTACATAGTTAAAGTAATATTCTGCAACATAAACAAGTGTAACACGTCTTTTACATCTTTACATAGTTAAGTAATATTCTACAACACCCTTGCTTCTTTTTAGTTTCATATTATTTAGTTTCATTGACCATATCTAGTTCTTTTCTTTCTTTCTTTCTTTCTTTCTTTCTTTCTTTTTTTTTTTTAATTTGAAACAAGGTTGTTTCACATGTCAATCCCACTTTCCTCACCCTCCCATCATCCCTTATCACCCCCACCAAACCCCAGCCCATCCCCTTTCTGCTCCCCAGGGAGAGTGAGGCTTTTAAAGTCTGCCTTATCATTTAGGGCAGGGCCTAGGCTCTACTCCTTTTCCTGTAGCATTTTTCTATAATAATTCTTCTATGTTGCTTACTCTTTGTAAATAAAACTTAATTGCTTCATAGTATGTCTATGCCAGCGCATTCTAACATGTATTTATTTATTGTTAGTTGGATTTTGATAAAACACACTCCTTTTTTGAGATTTATTTTATATGTTTTGCTTACATGTTTGTTTATGTACCATGTGAATGTCTGTGTACCCTTAGAGGTTGGAAGAGGGCATTGGATCCCCTAGAACTGGAGTTCTGGACTTGTATGGTGCCATGTGGGTATTGAAATCTAACCAGGTCCTCTGTAAGAACAAGTGCTCTTAACCGCTGAGCCATCTCTTCAGCCCAATAAGACTTTAAGAATTAATGGTCAGCTGGAAGCCTGAGAATCATCGTAGTAAAATAGACCCTTAGCAGACTGAAGTGGTACGATCGATCACAGGGCATAATGATGCTCACATGGGGGAGGGGAAGGTATGGGCAGGAAAGTCTAAGGTGGTCCTATGCTTGGTGTGGGGACAGCTGCTTTGAGCTATGAGCCTCTCCCGTTGAGTCTCAAGCTGTCCACTTGCAAACTGGTGGCATCTGCTTTCTGCATGGCAGGTGTTGGCAGTACATCTACTTCCTCAGTATTGACTGCCAAACTGAGGCGTCTTCTCACCCCAACAGGTGGTTTATGGACTCGTTTAGGATCTACACCCAAGACCAAAGAAAAGAACATGAAGAAAGCAGATCACAGGCCATCTGGTGCTGAGGAAGATGACTCCGAGCTTCAGAGGGCATGGGGTGCTTTGATTAAGGAGAAAGAACAATCTCGCCAGAAAAAGAGTCGGCTAGATAGCTTGCCGTCACTCCAGATTGAAGTCAGCCGGGAAAGTAGCTCTGGTTCAGAGGCAGAATCCTGATGCCCTGGCCTTGGCAGCTGCCCTCAAATCTGACATTCTTATGTAGGGTGGGGTACACAGTAGGAGCCTCCCTTGCAGGAGTTGGCGCCCTTCCCTCATACCTGCACTCTGAACTCTTGCTGTCCCAGTAGGACAGCTGTAGAGTGTGATGAGTGTTGAAGGGCATCTCTGTCTTGTGCTGCAGAGCTACTATTCTGGGCCCTCAAGTCTTCTCCCCACCTCCGCCCCATAAGCTTTACCCTCGAAGAAAAAGGCAACCCTCCAGATTTTGTAGTCGTTTTCTTAATATTTTTAACATTGTGTCTTTTAAAAGAAATGTTTTACACAGTTCATCCAAAGAGCAGAGAACTGAACTTCTCACTGTTGCCTTGGCCCTGACAGCTCTTGCCAGTACCCATTTTCCAAGAAAAGTCAGTCAGTTCCCAGGTGCTTATTAGACAGTCTTTGAGGGGGAAGATGAGGGAAGCTGCCAGCCCAGCCTTCCAGGACCTTAGCGTGAGGCTGAATCTCACAGACCTGACTTGAGCTGTGGTTGCCCTCCCAGGTAGATAGAGATGTAGCAGGAGTGGCTTCCATTCCTCCCTGGGGAGTTTCTGTTAGGGCCATTATTGGCTGTTAGCCTAATGTAAAGATCAAGGTCAGTGCTGTGGGACTTCTAGGGACAAACAACTGTGATTTCTGAATTTGGAGTTGATTTATGTGCTTAGGGATGGGTCTTGGGTTAATGTTGAACAATTTTTAAGTCTGTATTATGTTTAAAAACTATTAATGACTTAAAAGTTTAAATTTTTATATGTGGCTATTCCTCCTGTTGGCTATGGGGGAAGCTCAAGTGGTGTCTCTTGTGTTGTTAAATATACATTATATACTTTGGAAGAAGGCAAAGAGAGGAGTCTTTTTATTTTGAATGGTACTAATTGTGTTTTCTGTTTTACATGAGTTCAATTTGCTTTGTGGCCGATGTAGGAAAAACTGTCTTATCTGCAATAGACTCTTGTTCATTACCTTTTTTTTTTTTTTTTAGAAGTGATGGGTTGACAATTTGTTCTTTTTGTCTTTGACTTGTCACTGAAGACTTATTCAAAACTAGCAAATAATTTCAGAAATTTTTAGTTTATTTTTAATTTCCTTTTAAATTATTTTATCATAGAGGGCAGTAGATTATTTGGCCTCTCATCTGACTCTTACTTTGCAATAGTTAATACTGTGTTCCTCTACAGGTTTAAAAATGGTGTTTAATTTTAGCACATTAGAATCTTGGAGTTAGAGATAATGGTGAGCTGCTATCCTTTTGGGATGTCAAGCTCTTCACTTGCCTATTCTGATCCATGGAGCACTTGACTTGTGGTTGAGCACATGTCCCATTGGTAGTTGACTACATTGTGAATGAAAAGTATCCTAAGTGAAGGAGTAGGGTTAAGAACTGAGAGTTGTAACAGACTTGTATCGTATGATATGTATCATTTGGTTAACCTTGCCCTCCCACCCCCACTTTAGAGAGATGGGAGCATATAACCAAAGTGGTTTGGCTTCTGAGAATCCTAGAAAGAGGTAGTTTTGATTTCTTTGCTAGTTCAGACCTAAGGCCTCCAAGGTTTTTAAGTTTCTTTTGCCCTGTGTAGCTCACAGTCAGGTTCTTAGAGTTTCAGGCTTTGGCATAGTGAAAAGATAAAAGGTCTGAGAACAGACCTGGATGCCAACCAGGACTCAGGACTCTATCCGGTGGGCCTGAGCCTTCATTTCTTCATGAGGCAAGTAAATGGTCTGGTGCAGTTTCTGGCTATGTGTATCTCTTGGTAATATTTTGTTGTTCTTGAAGCTGTAGCTGCAGCATGTTTTCTGTTGAGGTGGCCAAAGTGTCAGGAAGAAGGGTGGATATGAGATTGTAGACTGGTACTTAGCCCAGGCTCTGGTTTGCCAGTGGATTGAATATATGCGAGTGTTTCCCACTTGTCATGGTTTCCTCAGGGTTTAGACAAGTCCCCCAGCTTTCTTCTTGTTCCTCAGTTATGATGCTTTCCATCCACCAATCCAGGCCCATTTGTCTGGGGTCTTTGAGCACTTGTCAGTGTCCTGTAGAGATAAGGGGAGGGCTTTATGGAAGATAGGTAGTATATATTCAAAACTAGCTCCTAGAGCTAACCCATTCAGCAGCTGCAGTTCTTACAGCACAAAGAACCCAGAGAGGTATATACTGCCTAAAGTGATGGCCCTCCCAGCCTCTTTCTGCAGCCTGCACTCGGGCTCCTCAGGTCTTCAATACCTTGAGCCCTGTGTGCTTAGGAGTAACAGTGGCTAGTCAGGACAGCCCAGCAGATGGCTAGCTGCTTCATCCAGGGTACTTTTCTGTGCGTGTGGGGTTAGTCTCTACATGTGCAAGATTTTATATAGACTTTTGCTGCTTGATAATAATCGCAGCTACCTCACCTCTGTTCCTTCTCTCCCTCTTTGTGGAGGGGTCTGCCCCTCTTCTAGGCTGATCCCACAAATCCTTCCCTGTGTCTCTTCTCCCTCTCTGCAGCAGCCTCTCAACTCTGTCTCTGCATTTCACATTGTAGCAGGGGTGAATTTTTGCTTGAGAGATTATTTACATAGTATGCAGTTCATCCATTTAAAGTGCACATTTCTGTTGGCTGTAGGCTATTCATTTACAGAGTTGTGTAACCATTATCATAATCAACTTTAGGACATTTTCATCACCAAAAACATCCTGTTCCCTCTAGCAGTCATCCTTCATTCTTATCTCTCCCCAGACCTGGGAACCACTAATCGTTCTGTCCTTGTGGATTTGCCTATTGTGGACATTTCATAAATGTCCTGTGCTGTGTGTCTATTTACATCATTTCAAGGCCATGCCATTTTGTGTGTGTGTGTGTGTGTGTGTGTTTAGACAGGTTTTTATGTGAGTGTAACCCTGGCTACCCTCAAGCTTTCTATGTAGACCAGGCTGGCCTTGAATTCACCGAGATAGTCTTCCTCTGCTTCCCAAGTGCTAGGATTAAAGATTTGTGGCGCTGTGCCTACAGTGCTTTTTTTCAGCTTTCTGTGTTGTCTCTATAGTTTATTTACTATTCATCTAATGGGCATTCTGTGGTTTCTAGTTTGAGACTTTTATGCACTGGCTTCTGTGAATATTTGTGTACAGCTCTCCTTCACAGACATGTGCTTTCATTCTTATATGTAGGTGTGGAATCGATGGATCATATGATAGCTCTTACCTTTAGTCTTTGGAGGAATTGCCAAGCTGTGTTCCTGTGAAGTGTATCAGGATTCCAGTTTATCACATCTTCTCCAATACTTAGTTTTCACTGTGAAATGGTGTTTCATTGTCTGTGTTTTGTTTTGTTCCAATGCAGGGGATCAAACCCAGGACCTTGTACACATAGACAAGTGCTGTACCACAGAGCTACATCCCAGTCCCTGAATGGTTCTGCGTTGCAGTTTCCTAATGTCTAGTCTAGTGCTGTTGGCTATTATTTCTTCTTCCTCTTGCTTCTTTGTCTCTCTCTCTCTCTCTCTCTCTCTCTCTCTCTCTCTCTCTCTCTCTCTCTCTCTTTCAAGACAAGGTTTCTCCATGTAGCCCTGGCTGTCCTGGAACTCAATTTTTAGACCAGGCTGATTTTGAACTCAGAGATCTGCCTGCCTATACCTCCCAGGTGCTGGGATTAAAGATGTACATCACCGTGCTCAGCTATGTTTGGCATATTTCATGTGTAACAAGATGAACTTAAAATATCAGTCTGCTCTTATTATGACTAGACTTACCTTTGCAGAACTTCATCATTGCTTCTGGAATAAAATCTCTACTTCTTTGATAGCCTATGAAGCCAGTAAAGAGGCAGTATCTGTGGCCTGTTCTCCATCCCAACCCATCCCACCTCCACCCCACCCCAGACCCTCTTGATCTCTTCAGACTTCATAGGGCATGCCTTTAGGCAGTGCCCTGCCTTCTTTATTTCTCTCATGATCAAGGTTTTAAGAGGCAGTCCTCCATACTGGTTTCCTTGTGTGTGTGTCCCAGTGTTGCTGGAAAGCTGACTCCAGGGTTAGAGCATGAGTCAATGCCTGGGTTAAAATTGAGTGTAATCTAATCACAGTACCTTTTAGAAATCCCAAGGCAGGTGCCACATTGAAGCCCAGCATCATGAGGTTCTTGCAGTCAGTTCTTGCCTTTGTGGGGGAAGGGTCACTCTTTGGTTGAGTACTAGGTGAAGTAGTTGAGTCTGCAATTTAGGGCCATTTCATGCAAATGCTGTCTTATCTTGGTGAGATCTCTTTTAAGAAGTTTGGGACCTTGGGCCTTGGGAGCAGCAGAACCACAAAGGATGCCCCGGTTTTCCCATCCAGCTTGCCTGGGTTTGCTGAGGAGAGGGTGAAGGGAGTAGGGCTCCATCGCCTTGCAACTGTTTTTGTTGTTTGCTTACTTTTCTGACAAGTGCTTTGTGTTTGATGCTGTGACTCGTGTAATGCAAACCACATGCCTCCAGCTCAGCACTCCTCGCTGGATTTTCACTTCCTATTCCTGGTTTATATATTTGCTAGGCTGTAAGCTCGTGAGAGCAAGGACCATGTTTGGCTTGTGCATTGGGCTTTCTCCATTCTTATCACATCCTAACCCAGCAGGCCCTCCATGAACTTACGTGAGATTGTAAACCTCTAGTCAGAAGAGCAGTTCTACCCTCAGCCTTATGTATTCTATGTACAGGCCAGTCCTCATTTTTCTGCTATGTATAGGTAATGCCTTATTTTCACGCTTTGTTCTTGTTTCCCCTTCTAGCCTGTGAGCTCCTAAGGAGCAGGTATCTTGATTTTGTTTTCTCTGTATCCCTGAACCAGGCCAGCCTAGTGTAAGTAGTATTTCAGAAGTATTTGAGAAGTGAATGAATTTGATAACACAGCTCGCACATAGTTTTGTACAGGATTTTTGATTCTAGCTGAGTCCCCCAGATGCAAAATGGGCCAGATGGGTGCAATAAGGAAGAGCTCTCATTAAGTAGATCTCGGAAACGTCAGGTGATAATCTGCCACATCTGAGCTGGAGCTTGTGCAGCTCTGGAAAAGTTGCTGGGAAATCACTTTGTTTTTCAGACTTGAGGACAGTTTTTATTGAGGTTTAAAGCAAAACTACCAGGAAAGCTGTAAATCACAGCAAATGGTGAGGAGAAGGAAACAAAAAAGGTCATGCTGTTTGAGTTAAGCTGACTGGGACCTTAGCCATATCACAACCACGAGTGGGCTTTAGAGAAGGAATAAGAAAGTCCATAGTACCAGAAAAAGCATGCTTGGGTCTCACAAGTATCTGAAAGGAAAAGGTTAATCCTGAACAGTGTTTCAGACAGTCATGAGCTAGGAACCCAACCCAGATCCACTGCAAGAGCAGAGTTGCTCTGAAGCTCTGAGCTATCTTTTCCTCTCCCAAAGTTTTTCTTTCTGTTTTTTTAAAGCATCCATCCTCAGTAAGGCAGAAGGAAAGAAGGCTGGCAGATAAGTAAGAGGCCCCAAAGAAGGAACGCTGAACCAGTTCTTAGCCCCAGAACAGGAGGCAGGAAGAACTGCCTCCAAGCAGCTGTTGTGCCTGAAGCGGCATTCCTTCTCTGCTAGCAGAGTGCTTTTGCTGGAGTGCACTTTGGGTAGGCAGCAGTTAGTATTGCTTTAACTGCTTGCTACATGGCTAAGTTTGTTTCCTGCGTCTTTGCTTTTAAACCTTATATAGTAAGATGTAACTTAGAACTTGAGCCTTTTCCTCCTCCCCCCCCCCCTTTAAATATAAGAGCTCAAAGAAGAAAATATTTTACTTTTGGTAATCTTGAGAATAGAACTTTTGCTTCAAGACAGATTGTAAAATGCATAATGTGACCACCAGCAAAAGCCTAGATGTAGTCTTGTCTATATGACAAACCTTAGCAGAAAAGAGTAGTAGTCCCAACTCCTCCAAAACCCTATAAGCATTTCACAGAACTTTGATGTTTCTGGAAGCAGTCAGAAAATAGCTGCTGCCTCAAATTGTCTCCTTGTTACACAAGCTGTCCTGCCCTAGAGTCCTGATTAGGCTAGAGCTGTCAATCCTACATCAAACAACCTCTTGAACACTGAAATTACACATTTGCCATAGCTGTGCAATTTTTTTCTTTTGAAATAATTACAAAAATCACAGTAGCATTGAGGATAGAACAGAGACCATCTTTTCTATATTTTATTTACCATTCAGCATGGTAAAGCATTTAAGTGGTCTTTTACTATGGTTTGATGTTGGTGATACTCAGTGTACCAAACGCTAGTCTGCCTGGGGATTGTCATCTGTTTAATCAATCCCAGAGTCCTTCTCTGGATGTTCAGATTCTTCAGTAGTTCAGACTTTGTGTGACCTCAGACATCTCTACCCCTGGGCCAATGAGGACCAGTGTTGGTCAGAGAGCAAGAGCCTCACACCATTGACAAAAACAGACTCTATGCTAGAGTAGGATTCAGTGACACATCCCTTTTCTGCTTATGTACAAAGGTTCCCCTGAGGGTCATGAGCAGTTGGCAGCACTCTTAGCTCAGGTAGAATGTTGTTTTGAAGAAAGGCAAATAGGATGATGGCTGAAGCTGAGGCAGGTCCTAGGGACTCAGTTCTCTCACATTCACAATTGGAAGATGAAACATGTTCCTTCTTCTCTGGGCCTTAGTTTCCTGGTCCATTAAATGGAAGCCTCAAGTGAGATGACTTCAAGTTTCTTCTCTGCACACAGTGGTTGAGATGGGAGAGACTCTTGCTATGCTTTGCAAGGAGCGTTGGGAGTATCTGATAGGAAGGAGATGAGGTCATCAGTAGTCCCACCTGGTCCCATAGCCAGTGCAAACTTCTCTTCCAGCCCTTCAGTCCTGAAACAACAGGGACCAGTGGCTCAGTGGGTAAAGGCTCTTAACGCCATGACTAGTAGCCTGCGTTTATTTTCTAGGATTTACACGATGGAATGAAAGATTCCTGCAGGATATCCTTTGTCCTCCACACATGTACTATGATGTGTTCGTGTGTGTATGTGTACATATGGTATACATAAACACACTGTTCAGTCTTAATTTGGGAGCTGTTTGAAAAGGTAATCTAAGGTGCTAGTTTGCTTGGGCAGCTATGACAAGATACCACAGAATGGATAGTTTAAACAACAGACATTTATTTTCTCAAAGACCTAGAAAGAAACTAGAATCAGAGAATTTTGGCATGGGGAGAGTTCTCACCTTGGCTTGCTCCCATAGCCTTTCTCTCCTGTGTGAACCAGTGGCCCTTTCACACAACCAACTCTATGGCATTCGGACTGGGTCCCACCCTTGTATACTCTTTTGAACTTAGTGACCTCCTCAAAACCAAGCCTAGTCACACTGAGGTTTAGAACTTGAATCAGGAATTTGGAGGTGGATATTCTCCAGCTCTTGGCACCTGGGAATGCAAGGGTGCCATTCTGTATTTTTGCTTTTTAAATTCTCAAAAACTCATGATCTGAAGAGGGGTTTGTAGTAGTTCAGGGTCCTGGTTCTGGAGGAGACAATCATGTCTGACTTCCAGCTCAGCAACTTAGCCATTCATGTAGCTTTGGGCTCAGTTTTTTGCCTCCCTCAGATCGCACCATCAATCATAAGGTGACACTACCCTCCAATAAAGGCTGTTCCAGGTGGCCTTGGCTCTGCCTGCCTGTCCCCAGCTCCCTTTGGGCCTCATCTTCCCAGCTTCTGGAGGGAAGGCTGGCTCTAAGTGATTAGAGCCACTTCTGTCTGGAGGCTGGAGGGCAGACCCCCTCCACTGTGCATGTGTCACACTTTCTGCTTGCTTTTGACTCGAGAGTGTCCCACCTCCTGCTGCACACCTCTCTCTGAACATGTATCAAACTTCTCTTGGTGGAGAAGTGGGGTGGGGAGGCAGGGTCTCTGTTACATACGCTGGTCTGGCGTAGAGCCTTCATTAGTCTAGGGCTCTCAATCCCGCATCAAACACCACCTCCTCCCCCTGAACATTATAACAGGTTGCCATGGCCCCGTATACTTTTTCTTTTGAAATAATTGCAAAATGATAGTAGCGTTTTTCCTATGTTTTGTTTTACCATTCAGTCTTTCCCTTGTCTCCACCCCCAACTCCCAAACTATTTAAAGTATTTTGGACTGCATTTCACTTTGCCCTCATCATGCTTTGTGTTGTGTCCATAGGATAGTTATCAAGTTCAGGAACATGTAATGTCTGGTCAGTATAATAGTCGCTCACTTGTAGTTCAGGCTTCTAATTGTCTAGTAATGCTGTTACAATCATTTTTTTTTTTTTTCCTGGTCCAAGATCTAATCTGGCATCAAGTAGCAGACTTCCTCTGCTCTGTTATAGAAACATGTCCTCAGCCTTTCTTTGTCTTTCATGACATGGATGTTTTGGAAGGATACAGTCTAGTTAGTGGTATAAGACTGGCATTCAAGTAGTATTTACAGCCTAGGACTGGATGCTATGAGAGAACAGAACATGAGACCACAAAGCCAAGCCCTAACCTGGGGACCTGAAGCCCTGGTGTGTGGGAAAGCATTAGTATCAGGTGGGCTGTGAGAACTCCTCTGCAAGTTGTAGTTACTGGCATTGACAATCTTGGGTGGGTGCAGAAGGTGTTGGTACTCTTAAGAGTCTACAGAGATGACAAAAGCTGTATATGCTCCCTATGCAGCTCTCAGCCATCGCATTGCCCAGCCTCCTCAGATGACTGGGATTTGCATTCAGTCTTGCTGCTTGCAGAGTTCCTAAGCGAGCTGCCATCCCATGCTTTCCTACCCTACCAAGGGTGTGGTTTGTGATGCTACACTGCCCCTTTCTTCCCCATGGGCCAGGGCTCGGGCTCTGCCAAACACCCTTGGATTTGGGAGGAGGTGGGCATTGAGGAGTGATGGGAAGATGGGCTGGCTGCAGGGTCCACTGCAGCTTGTGACAGGTCTGCCCAACAGCAGTAGGGTACTCTGCGCTGTGTTGTGGCAGTAAATCATCAGAACTGGAACCCTGCTTTTCTAGCTGCTAATAGTTTCTGCCAGGTGGTGTGTGGACAGAAATGGTGAATTATGATCTCTATTCTAGTCATTGTGTAAGATCTAGTCAAATGTCAGACCAAAGCTGACAGTATGGAAATGTTTGGAGTGTCATTGAATCTTTACAGAAAGTTTTCCATGTGAAAAACAAAATAAAATTGATTTTCTTGTCATTAAGGGCACGTGGTTGTCTACTTCATATCACACATTAACACTTGGGAATATTCTCTTACATGCATGTAAGAACAAGAGGTTTAATGTCTACAGTAGGCTCTCTAAATTATGATTGAGCACAGTTCTCTCCAGGCACTGACATTGTATTAACATGTCAGTCACTTGTGGCTAGTAGCTCCAGTTGGACAGCAGCGTCCAGAGCAGTCTGTCTTTGCAGAGAGGTCTTACTACATGGCCTAGGCTGGCCTTGAACTCAGTCTTCCTGCCTTACACTCCTAAATGCCTGGATTTCACTAGGTTTCCCTGTCTGGGGTTCTGCTGGGCTGTTGTGTGGAGAGCCTTCCTTCCCTTGCTGCTGTGTGGGAAATCTGACCACTGAGGAAGTTGGTCTTTAGCTATGACTGCTTCTTTTGGTAGTAGAGTCTCCACAACTTGGGCTGGGTCAGAGCTGTGCTGTAAGGCCATGGAGTCTATCTCTTCTGTTAGGCTGGAAGCTCGAAGCCCTGTGAAGCTGTTATCAGCTTCAGATTTTGAAGACAACCGAGCGACAGCTGGATTGAAGCAATGACTTCAACTAATACATTGGGGCTTCATGTTCACTCAGCCATCCACAGCCCCAGGCCTGGAGTACAGAAGCATTTATAAAGGCCCAGTTTCTGGCTGTGGGTGCACTTTCTATGGGAGGGGTCCCAGACTGGGCTTGGAGCTGGGAGCATTCTGGACAGGATGGGCTGGAATTCACCTACCTGGACTGCTGCTGTTCCTGCACCTCTGTCTGCCATGGCACTACCACTGGCCACATCTTAGCTCACTCGTGCATGAAATGGTGTGTTTACTGAGTGACAGAGCTGAGCTGACAATTGTCTAAGTTCCCAGGACCCAGCCCACAGCTATGGGGAAGCCACATGCTTGCTGGCCTTCTATAAGCCAGGGTGGCTATGTCTACTTGAAAGTACCTGTGGGCCTATGCATCCTTGTCTAATTATGCCTCTGTCCCCGCCTCCTGGCCTCTGGTAGAGGAGGGGAAGCTGAGTGCCTTTTTGAGCTGCTGTGTCACCCAACTCGACTCACACAGCTCCATCTGCTCCAGCAATGAAGGGGCTCTTCCTCACCCTAATCTGCACGACCAGTAAGTCAGCCTCGCCTTCTGCCCTCAGATGCTCTCACTTCTGTCTGTCTGGACTTAAGGGTTAGAGGTCAGAGAAATGAGAAGTACCTTTGCTCAGGCGTATCTGTAGGCTTTCTGGGAAGGGATTCTTTTGAGTGTTGACGGCTGCTGGCCTTGCCAACCCTCTTTCCCTCTCCATCAAGCCTCCCATTCCTGTTGCATCCTCAGGTCTGTGGTCAGTTAGTGCCCAGAGTGTGGAAGCTAATCTCATGCCAGCCAGAAGAGGACCCGTAGTCAACAGAGGGTTTTCAGCTGCTGGGAGTGGGAGGATTGGTGAGAATATAGGTATTGGTAGCATACTGGGGGTGAGAATCTACAGACTGGATGTTGGGGGGAGGGAACCTGCTTCCTGTTGTGTGTGGGTGGGAGGTATTTCTGCTGCCAGGGGGCTCCTTTCTGTCTTTAACCCTTTGTGGTAGCTCCTTTTGGATAAAGTGCCCTGAGCACACCTGTAAGGTCCCAAAGACAAGCTAGTATAGTCAGATGAGCCCCTGGGGACTGCTCAGATGGGGTTCTAACTGTGGTGTTCTTGCCTGGTGATCTCTTTTGCTCAGGCTTGGCAGGAGAATAAGGTGGACATCAGGCCCAGTAATATAAAGGTGCCTGTGTCTATGAAATAGTTCATGCCAATCAGTAAGGGTGTGAAGAAGCTGCGCCGTCAGAGGAGGAAGATGCAGGATGGGCACCTACTTTAAGCCAGAGCACCCAGGAGTCAGGCTAGACCCTGCCCAGATCACCAGTGTAACGTTTGGGAACAAATTTTGATATTTTAAAAATATCCAAGGGACCAGGGAGATGGCTCGGCAGGTTAAGGCATTTCCTACCAAACCTGATGACCTGAGTTCCACCCCCAGAGTCCCACATGGTAAAAGGAGAGAATTGACTTGTCTTCTGACTGCACACATGTGGACATACACATACAAATTTTCTTTAAGCACCTTGAGTAGTCACCGTGGAAGGAGGAAAGTTGGTTGAACTTTTCGTTGTTTTGCATCTTAGACTTGTCTTTATTTTGTTACCTAAAGAGTGAGGTTGAGGGTCTCACTTTTTTTTTTTTAATCAGAGCTCTAGATGCCCCATCAGGACTATCTAGAGGAGATGCTGAGACTAGACTAGTCCACTACATCATAGATGTGACTGAGGCCTACAGACAGACTGAAAGGGTTGCAACCAAGGAACAGTAGAGACAGAACCATGCCCAGATCTCTGTCCTGCCTCACCACTCCAGGACCCTCCATGGCCTGGGTTGATGACCCTAGCAGGGGCACTTTAGACTCCTGCCTACCTTTGTTTCCTGCAGCTCCTCAGCAATCCCATCCCCTCAGCACCTTCCTGCCACTGCCAGCCATTCATCACCCCCTGAGGCTCTGGTACTTCCCAAATTGAAATGCAACAAAGAACAAGATGAAGCTGGGCAGTGGTAGCTCATGCCTTAACCCCACCATTCTGGAGTCAGAGGCTGGCTGATCTCTGAGTTCCGAGACAGCCTGGTCTACGTAGTTCCAGGACAGCTAGGGTTACATAGTGAGGCAGACAAAACAAAAACCAAGATGGGCAGATTGTCCCTGAGTCCCTGTAGCCTGTCGTTTGGCTATGCTGTGGGTAGGGTGAGAGCTTGGCCTCAGTGTTTGCTGGGAGAAAGGAGATGGCTCTGCTCTGTACTGTGATGCCCTGAGACTTGGTGATAGGCCAGGCCTCAAGAGTTTCCTAGGCAGTTTCCTGAGGCTGAGTACTCAGGGCTTCAGGAGTCAGAAGCAGGCAAGGTGGTACCAAGGGGGATGAGGATGCAGACTGAGCATAGGCCTGGGCTCTCGAGTCCTGTGCCTGGATGCCTTCACTGGGGTGGGGCCATTCACAACTGTTCTTGGCTCGAGGGCTTTGCCCTTCTGCCCTTCCAAGCCACCCACTGTGGTAATGACCTTTTCCAGTCACTCATGATGCCTAAGGAAGGTTCAGAGAGAATACAGGTACAGACATACTGAAATCTGAGCAGTCCAAACCCCAACTTCCAGCCCCAGTACACCCTGATGCCCACAAAATCAATCCAGCCTTGACTCATTCTGTGGCCACAGGAACTCACTTCCTCCTGAGTTTCAGAGGTCGAGTTTACTTCTCTTGTGTAAAGAGAACTTTGCTGTGGATCTGTGAAACCTCATGGGTTAAGGATAAGGAACCAGAATCCAGGGCCTACTCTGCTCAGGGCACCAATCCAGGCTGCGACCTGTGGCCCCACTAGGGAAGCTTGGCGGCTGGCCTGGTTCCTCCCAGGCCTAGCCTACATCTGTGTGCAGATGTGAACAAGCATCTTGGTCCTCAGGAGTAGGGATCCTGGTACCTGAGACATGCCTGGGAGGATGGGAAGGGTCTAGCAAATAGGCCGGCCAGGAAGAAGGGCTTTCAGAAGCAGCAAGGCCTGGGCACATGAAAAAGATGGAGAAAGAGAGGCATGGGAGAAGGAAGCTGTTTATTCTGATGTTGTCTTCCCCATCCCAGATTAGGACTTGCTGGGCCCTAGTATGAAAAAGCAGGCTGTACATTCACTGATTTTCCTAGCCCGGGGAGGATCTGTGGAAAGGGGCACAGGACTCTGGGGGGCCAAGAAAGGATAGCCTAAGCAAAGGTGGATGAGCCAGATGGAACCTCACACCTCTGACCTCTGGAAAACTAGCTTATATGTATGAATTATGTGTGGTATGGATAGGGAGTGAATGGGATGTGAGTAGTGCATATAGGGTGTTTATGGTCTTTGTGTACTATTATAGACTATATGATGTGTATAGGCTATGTGGTTTATAAGATGTGGCATGTATGAGGTATATAGATTTTTATATATGAATTTCATAGGATGGTTGAAGCACATAGTATGTATGGAGTATGTGCATGATACATGGAGTATATATGATATGCATGAGTATATGTAGGATATGAGTGGTATGTACATGGGGCTTATGGGGTGTGTGTAATGGATAGGTATACAGTGGGTTATGTGTGCCGTGTGCAGATGTACATAGAGTATATGGGGTGTGTGGTGTGCACAGGTGTGTGGATGTATATGAGGTGTGTGGAAGACATGGATTCCTGAAGACTCCACAGTGCTCGAGTTGAACAGTGTGGAGGACTCAGAGCGCCAGGCTGAGGGACTTCACCATGAGGGCACTGGGAAGCCACGGATGGTCCTGAGTGTGGTGGGGACAATCACACTTGTATAGAAGATGGAGTTAGGGAGTAAGAGGAAGCAGCAGAGAAGCTGGTAGGAGGCTGCAGCAGTGGTCCAATCCATGCGTGCTGAGGAGGCAGGCATGTGGAGATAGAGGTGCTTGGAGGGGTGTTCAGGGGAAACACTGGAAAATTTACATGTACTTAGCATGATGCTGTGCCTTGCATACAGGAATTGTCTAAGACCAGGCTGTTTTGATTTTAGATAAACTGGAGGTGAGGCAGGAGAGGGAGGGGCTCTGCCTGTGAGTTTTGGGGTTGAGATGATGAGGCTCTGTGAGAATGATGAAGGGGTGTAGTCCCTGAGCTGCTCTTTCCAGACAGGTGTTCTGCTGATGCTGTGATCTGAAGATAAGCATGGTTCTCCCTGCCCAGGCCTCTGGACCAGGCATCAGGATACAGAGTCTAGTCTCACTTCTATAGCTAGTTCCTTATATAAATTTGGGCCTCATTTACTGGGAACAGTGATGACCACTGTGTGGTGAGGAGACATTAAAAATGCCCAGTGCAGCAGAAGAGGCAGTGATGGCCGTCAGGGTGAGGAGATCTTTAACTCACAGGCCATGAGTCAGTTCTGGGAGTGGCTCTGCGGGTAGAGTGGTGACAGACACAAGTCTAACTGGGCTCTCATGTCTGACTGCATGACAAGTTTGGAGGAAGAGGGTGGGCGGTGAGGTTATGAGAGAAGTGACAGCCCTGTACCTGTGGTCAAAGAGCTCTTAACACCAGCATCCACACACCAAACCTCCACTCGACAGGCCCTGAGCTAGCACAGCCCACGTCTCAGTGTGAAAACCAAAGCAATGGGACATGCCAAGGTCCTTCAGTGACTCCATGGCATAGCAAGGATTTGAACTCAAGACTTTCTGCCCTTGAGGCTCATGCTATTTTCTGAGTCTCTGTGGGAAGTATGAAGGATACATGGAAGCCCAAGCAAAAATGCAGTATAAAACCCCAGACACCACACACACACACACACACTTATGCACATACACACACACACCTATGCATGCATACATACCCCATGCATGCACACACACACCCATGCATTCACACACAAACCCATGCATGCACACACACACCCATGCATGCACACATAGCTCTTGTGTACCTGCCTATACTATCAGCTCTTTAAAGACCTAGTTGATTGCCCAAAAGTTGGGCCCTGCCCTTGACCAATGAGCCATTAAAATAACAGTGAGCCATGTCCAGCAAGCTACTGTCCAGCTCCTCAGAGCCTTTTGTAAACCCACTTTTTTTACCCCTCAGTGCTTCTATCTGTTGGTAAGGGCCTTGAAATCAAGAAACCAAGGGTGGTGATGGTACAGGCCTTTAATCCCAACACTTGGGAGGTAGATGCAGCCCAATCTCTCTAGGTCTACAGAGAGTTAGTTCTAGGACAGCTAGGGCTACACAGAGAAACTCTGTCCCAAAAAAACAAACAAACAAGAGAGAGAGGGAGAATGTGTGTGTGTGTGTGAGAGAGAGAGAGAGGGAGAGAGAGGGGGGAAGGAAAAGAAGGAGGAGGAGAAGGAGGAGGAGAAGAAGAAGAAAAGGAAGAAAGAAACCTGGGCCTCAGACACAAATAACCAATTTACTGAGTCCAAGAGCAAATTGTTAGCCTCATCCTGCAGCACAGTGCCTGGAAGACAGCAGGTGCCTTAGGAGACAGCTATTATGTTTTCTCTGCACCTTTCTTCCCCTTTCTCACCCCTTGAGGGATCTAGCCAGACCCCTCGGTTAAA